TTACAGCTTCCCCAGCCATACCAATGTAGCCTGCACAGGGAAAGATGACGTCGCCCTTGATATTGTGGTCCGAAATCCATGGTACATGATCCAAGGACAGCATGTTGCGAAACACGGGCTCATTAAGAGAGCTTTCTGGAACCCTCACCCCGAGAATCTCATGTTTTGGGAAGCTTCGGTGCCGCCACTCATCGGAAATGCGACTTGAAAAGAGCAATGAATGATCATGATGCCATGGGTACGGGGGTAAGTCTGTAACCACATTGGCGGTTCGTTCGGGATTGGTGAGAAGGTTAAAGTCAATCTCAAGGCCGAGTTGCCAGAGTTGCCCAAGAGCTGTCAAGAAAGACTCTGTCGCGTTCTTTGTCCTGACGAGACAGGAAGCGTAGGACAGGTTCAACGAGGCCTGCGCAAGGATCTGCCGCAAAGGTCCGGCCAAAGCTGAGTGCGGGCCAACCTCGAGAAATATCAAGTGGTTGTTGCTTTGACTCTTGTGGGCTTCAACCAACTTAGTTACAGCTGCGTTGAACAACACTGGAGACTCAAGATTTAACCTCCAGTACTGCGCATCGGCCATCCAATTTGGCGGTAGGAGGCTGCCTGTCACTGGAGAGAACATTGAAGTGGAAGAAATAACCATGGACTTCGAGGCATCGATATGAGGAGACGTCAAAGTGAGATATCGGTCTCCCACTTCCTGCATGTGGTGAGAATGATATGCAGTGTCGACCTTGAGTAGGCGAGCAAGGGTATCGGGCTTTGCCTCAAGAATCTGGTTGAGAATTGCCTGAACGATCTGGGAATCGCCAGAGATGGTGACACTTGTGGGTGAGTTTTCGCAAGCGATTCCAACGCCTGGTCTTAGGAACGGAAGAACTTCAGTTCGACCCATACCTACTGCGGCCATTGCACCCGACATGGTGACTTCTGATGAGACAACTCCGCGATAGTATGCCGCAACAATCGCCTCATCCGATGTGAGCTTTCCGCAAGCGTAAGCGGCAGCCATCTCTCCAGAAGAGTGGCCAACCACAGCAAACGGTTTAATGCCCGCTGTGGCTCGGAGGGTATCTACTAAGGCAATCTGCACGGCTGTACAAAGCGGCTGAGAGATACAGGCTTCTTGCAGTCGACTCGACTCTTTCGGCTTGTTAAGCTCCTCAATTAAGGTCCAGGATGGTCCATCTGGTAGGAAACTCAAAACCTTGTCCATGTGTCGGATAGACTGCGCGAATACGCGGTTGCTCAACATCAACTCTAGCGCCATCCCTGGCCACTGAGCTCCTTGACCCGTGAATACAAGGGCGAGGTCCGCGGGGATGCTGGGTGCTTTGACAAGTGTTGATGTGTTCAGCTCGATGCCATTCTCCATCACTGAAAAGGCTCGCTGCGGTAGGTGGGCACGGCGAGCAGCGAGAGTGTAAGCAATGTCATTGAGAATTTCAGGGTGTTGAGCGATGTATCTTTGGTTGTTGATGACCTGTCTTCGCAAAGAATCGGCTGTGTTGGCGGAGTATGTCATAAGTTGTGCCTGGTTCCAGATGCTCAACATTGGATCCGGGATAGACGGGCGTCCAAGGCGACCGAGGAAGGTCGCCGCGGACTCGATTACGACGTGTGCGTTGGCACCTCCAATTCCAAAAGAGTTGACAGACACCCGTTCAGCCCGATCCTCTGGCCAGGGTGTTGGTTCAAGGGGTACTCTAAGATTCTTCTCCTCAAACGGAATCTTCGGATTCGGCCTGTCAAACTTGATGTTCGGGGGGATCACCCTGTACTCCAATGCCATGATGGATTTGATGAGGGATGTGATGCCGGAAGCACCTTCCGAATGGCCGATGTTGGGCTTACAAGAACCAATGTGAACTCCGGAATCACCGAACACCTTTGCAATGGCTGTCGTCTCGATGGGATCGCCTGCAGGAGTCCCGGTACCATGACACTCCACGAACCCAGTCTGGGCAATATCTGATGCACTAATCGCTGCCATACTGTAGGCACGACGAATCATGGCTTCGTGACTCTCGAAACTTGGAATCGTCAAGCTCGGTGTTTTGCCATCTGCGTTGGATGATGTCCCCCTAATGACGGCACGAACTGGATTACCATCTCGAATGGCATCGCTCAAGCGTTTAACGTAGACGACATTGACGGCTTCTCCCCGGGCATAGCCGTCGGCGGCCGCGTCAAAAGTTCGACAAGAGCCATTCGGCGACAGAACTCCCTGTTCAGACATGCTGACATACAGTCCAGGTGCCAAGATGAGGTTAGATCCAGCAACGATAGCGGCATTGCACTGGCCGTGCTGAATAGACATGCATGCTTCATGGAGTCCAATCAGGGCAGAGGAGCAGCCAGTCCTGATGGTCATGCTCGGTCCTTTGAGGTCGTATTCGTAAGACAGTCGATTAGAGAGCATGAAGTCTCCGTAGCCGGTAATCTTGTACTGGCCAACGACTTCGCTGTCTTTGGTCAACGTCTCGAGCCAGTCTTCACCGAAGCACCCGACGAAAGTTCCAATCGTTTTGCCGCGATAGTGAACTTCGCCGGCACTCTCTAAGCATTCTCTCGTCAGCTCGAGGAGTAGTCTTTGCTGAGGATCAGCCCGCTCAACCTCATTCTTTGGCATTCGAAAAAACGTGGTATCGAGCGCCCCAAGATCGACGGAGTCGTCAAGGAAGTATCCATGCTGGGTCTTGATGTGACCAGGTTTTCCGGTCTCAGAATAGTAGCTGGACGCATTGAATCTGGATGCAGGAATCTGGCACCGGGCGTCTCTTTTGTCCACCAGGAATTGCCAGAATTCCTCAGGAGTTGCGATGCCACCGGGTAGCCTCAAGGCCATGCCGCAAATCGCAATAGGCTCCATATTGGCTGGCAACAGTTCTGTCAACCCTAACTGCCCATTCGGCTGCAAAGCAGAACTCGAAGGTTAGAAATCATAGTGCGAACGTAGTACGAGGGAGCTACTCACGGGCGTTTCTGTAACCGATTCCAAAAATGGAGCCATGATGAAATGACATGGATTGATGGTCGGCCAGATGGAGGGTTGAGATATTCTTCACAACCGAACGTTTAGAGTTAGTGGCGAATAGTAAATTACATGAAATCACTTGGGTTGAATGAACACTTTGGTCTGACAAGAGAAATATTGGTGAACCTGATATACTTATCACTCTGCCAAAAGTTTTGCCTGAGCATGAACTTGCCATTTCAGGTATTAATGGTTGGCTTGGGGTCAGCAATCTCAGCCAAAGTCGATCATTGCAAGGTTCATTACTTGCCAAATGTCGATGATGCTGTCTCAGAAAGGTCAAGACTAGGACTAAAACACGCCTGGACTCGACTCTTTCTGACATGCAGTTGATCTTGGGTCGACTATCGAAAGCTGCATTACCCCCTCGGGCGAAATAATGGAAGTGATACGTCAAAAGTCCACAAGCATCTAACGTCAGGATTCGGAGGTAGGGCTGGGCTGTGAAATATTGGACGAAAGATCCCACGTCAGCAAAGGCTCCTCCCGACCAAGCTGCACGAAAGTTCCTATTTTCCGCCTCTAACTGGTACCAAGACCGTTTGCTTATCGTGCCGAGCCGTCGCAGATGCAATCTGAGTAAGGATGATGTCTCTCAATTCTGTCGCGTGGATCGGCGGGGGTAAGATTCCAAACAAGTAGGTACCTAGCATATCTCATACTACGATTTGAAGCAGGTGTTAAACTCGCTCGTATCTCGTATGTCAACGAAATCGACATTGGATGTGTCTAAGTGTGCTGTCAAACACTCCGTGCCCGTGAATAATCAGGAATGGCCTAGATCAGCCGGAGAGTAATGATTTGGGGTTATTTTCAAGGGACTTTGGTCGGTAAGGACATGCATGGTGTCCTTGAAGGATTCAGATGGCAAACTGTCAACAATCATCCGGTCAATGAAAGCTCACGCCTCCGGCCCCCGCCAAGTGGGTGATAAAACGGATTATCGCTCCGCACAAAGTACCTAGCTCTATTCCTATCCTTCTCGTCATTCACTTTTCATTATCATTATCATTTTCTAACTTTGAAATATTCTATATAAAATGCCTCTTAAGAAACATAGTATAGATATAATAATAGTAGTAATAATAAGAATAATAGCAGAAACAGGAATAGTATAAAGAGTGATAGAGAGAGTACCTATTGAGCGGCATCCCATTTTGTCACCCACTTGTCCGCATAGGTAGAGGGCGGCCGACCGTTGCGGTGCAAGCCCGAAATTCTGCTCAGCTTGCTACACTTTCTGCCCATGGGAATTGCAAGAAGGAGAAATGCATGGGTATTCGTGCGAAATTTGAGATCACCAATGCTGGTGTTACGTTCCGTTCCCGGCACGCAACATCAGAAAAATGGATATGGACGGGCCAGGGCGATTCTCGTATGTTATCTTAACGCCGTTTCAGCCACCAGGCACAGAGATCATGAGGTTGTGAAGATGCACAAGAAGGGGCAGCGCAGTAAAAGACCCTTCCTCACTAGAAATAGAACAGCTGAGAGCATGAGAGGCACAGCATCAGCTCGATGCTAGCCTCTGGGTCTGCGAGTAGATTGAGGCGATACACACCTGACCAGATCTTATGTGCATGCAGTCAATACCTTATGAAAACCCGCGGATCGCGTCCCCAACGGCTCACCTGCAGCTAAAACAATGTGGACCAATGAGAATCGCCAAGTAGCTTGGTAACTTTGGTTCAGTCGTATTCTTGTCTTTGACGAGTATTGTCAGACCCATATTCCCACAAAAGCAAAAGTAAAAGTGCCCGCGCATTTGCAAGTGAGGAAATGCGTCCCCACGAAGACGATCACCAGATGCTAACAGTCAATCGGAATGCTCGCGTCATGCCGTTGGATACGTGCAAACTAGCACGCTTTCATGGGCAGTCCTGACCGGCTATACTGTTGCCATCCATCTCTATTCCGCTCGCCATGCCAGACTTTGATGTTTTAGCAGCATTGCCAGCTCCCATTCTCACAGAGGTTTCTGTGCGCTCCAGAAATGCATCATGCCGTAAGCATGTACATTCGGGTCCCTCATGGCATTCCGACATTCGGCGAAGAGAACCTCCATCTCAATCTGGCTCCATCCCAACATCTGGAAGTGGATTGCGCCTACTACAGGGAAGAACTCTTCGCAAGCCGTGCGGTAGTACATGCCAATCAGCCGCATTATTCTGAGAGAAGTGCTTGTTAGAATCTCGCGAGTTATGTATGTGGACGTTCTGGTAACACTCACTTATCCCTAGGCCACGTTCCATACGGTAACTTCACCGTGTGATGTTGAATGTTGACGAAACCAGCCTGTTCCAGATATTGCCGTCCAAACACAGCGGCGTGAGAGTTCGTCCCAAATTTTGCGAACGCCTCTACGAGATGGTTCGTGAAGCGGACAAGGGGCCAGTCAGAGGGCATAGTGCCATCGTCACAGTGAACCTGGCCGTCAACATCTTGAAGCTCGACCCAGCCGCCGGGTTTCATATGCCTACGGAGTGTCAGCAACACTATGGTCAGGTAGGGAATGACAATTGAAGTCATAGAACATACTCGTATGCATTTCGTAGCAGGCCGACGGGTGACTTTAGAACGGGTACCATGTTTCTTAGGTGAACAAAATCAAAGTTCCGGCCGTTCAACCATGTATCCTCAACGTCATCAACCAAGAACTTGACATTTGGTGGTACCCAAACGGGCTGGATGGGACTCAAGTCGAGACCATGGATCTCCGCGCTTGGGAATAAGTCTCCCACTGTTCTTCCGGTCAGCTGCCTAGTGCCCTCTCGCATTTATCTCACTCTCGTGGAGACATTTGGAGACTTTCACTTACTCTCGATTGCCCAGATACCTGTTCCTGTACCCAGATCAATTATCTTCTGTGGGTTGTCCCCGATGGGTGCAAAGTACAGCTTCCCGTCTGTAGCTTCCAGCATCATAGCGTGCAGCATGTCCTCGCGGTTCTGTTCTGTCTCGTCGTTGGGAATCGGGTACCGCCCGTGGCGGAACTTGTGGTAACGGCGTCCGTGCTGGAAGCTATGCTCGTAGACGCTGGAGTTCAGCGAGGTCGAGTCAGTTCTTTGACTCCTGTCGTCGGCGATTGATGATCCGTCAAATACACTGGGAGTGAACTCATCATCGTCGTCAGTTCCGCCGGCCTCAAGAGCATGTTCGGTGGAAGGTCCGGCGAGGATTTCTGTCGGAGGGTCGGGAATGCTTGATACTGCTGGAAGCGGCTCGGTTGATGTCGTCGTTGCTTCGGAGGCCGTCATCGCCGTTTGCTCCGTACTTGAACCGCCAGCCGTGGGTGCCGTAGATGCAGACGCTGCTGTCTTTTGTTATTACCATCCCTCAAACGAGAGAAAATATGACGCGTCGCTTGTCGTATACTGTGATGTTCCGAGCCTCCCCATTCCTTAAGACCACCTCAAAAAGTGAAAGGTCTTAGCTCACCATCGGGATCGTCGCGTCGCGAGCCATCAGAAGGGCCCGCGCTAGGGCTACCTGGATTGCTTCCTGTGCCCATCGTAATAACACAGCTTGTAGCTGCTCGAGTGTGTGCCTCTACTTTGCCGCAGTATTCACGTCTTTTGAGCTCGTTTCGCGTAAGATGTGAAGCCTCGACGAACTGTGTGAAACTGGTTGGAATGAGTGAGAGAATGACGATGTTTTGGCTGCAACTTTGCGTCGTAATCTCTAGCGGGCCTGGCTCCGAAGTTCAAGCTACCCTAGCCTGGATGACCCATGAATCAGACCACCCGTCTTTCAACCTAGTGAACGGGAAGTCTGCCCGAGTCAAGAGTGTGGAGGCGGGGTTGACGAAAGGTGTGCCCGGGTGCGTCTGGGGTCTAGGCTTTTCCTCTCAAGCAGGGGGTTAAGGTTTGGGTACTGGAATGCGTTTGTCTTACCCCTATCTCTGGTTTGAAGGGATTTGACGAGAAGCATGAGACTAAGGGACTGGAAAAGGTAGCAGGGAGTGGTCAGGCAAGAAGCGGGTGCGGCAGATTTAGATACCTAACCCGGACTGAGCCCATGGCATATTTGATAACCGCCACGAAAGCCCCAGAAATTTGCCAGCCTGATATTACACACCACATTTAACAATTTTGCAAACGCCAGGAAGGTCAAGCGATCTCATTCATGTCGCTGGCGGCGGTGGATAGTATGGGGGCAGGCCTACGGATACATGAGATTATGGACAAGTAGCATCGGGATAGGGACATGGGAAAGGCTCAGTCTTCTTCCGATGTTTCTTCTGGCGGGTGATGGATTGCTTCAGCCCTTGCGCTACGATGTTGTTAGTGACACCGTCCACCTGCCAGACTGAGAAAAAGAGAGGGGAATCATGTCATTGTTGCCGTCGTCTCTGCCATTGATGACTGCATCTCTACCCTGGAACCTACGTACAGGACCACCCCTTGAATCCCAGCCTCTGCTCGCCTATGCCCTGTAGTACTGGTATGTGGTGGGACGATTGGTGGCGTTTATTGGGTCTCATCAGGGCCGCTCAAGCCGGCGCCATCCATTCCCAGGTGCCCGGTTATCAGGTTGAGACGAGTAATGTTCGACCTAACTTGTTCCTAGCCCTGCTAACTCACTGCTATTCGCAGTATTTTGTACGCGCTGGGCGGCCAATCCTACGTGGCCAGCTTTCATGTGGCTTCTTGACCGCTCCGTTCCAAGCGGCCACAAATTCGAATTTGCGAGGGACCACGGCCGTCTTTGACCGAGTGTCCGTTCTTATCGATCGCATCCCGTGACTAGAACTACGGATACCGCTTTGAATTTTCCGGCAGAGGATGAAGACCGTTGAAAGTGCAAGCAACTTCATTGTGAGATAATGGGCTGCATCCTATTAATTACTTAATCCCCATACGGGCCAAGAACCAGCCATGTCTCTTCTCTCGCCCAATGCCTATAATCGACGTCTCGCATTCCGAGTGTGTTTCTCCTCACGACCCTTTGCTGCGCCTTTTACTGGGAGGGCTGATATGTGACATATCACCTGGCGCCCATCTGCATCTCGCTCTAATGGGAAGTTGTAGCGGAGCTGATTGAAAAAAGCAACTAATGTTCAGGCCTCTATGCAGTTTCAGGCCACACGGACCCCGATCTCTGGCGGTCGGCAGTGAGATTTCCGATCCTGTTGCGCTTATCATGCTGTGTTCACAAACCCACTGATGAAGGAGTATTGAGATTGAGAAAAGAAACTCCATGACAAGTCCATCCTTTGATCGCGATTCTGACGGTCGACAAATTGTGGAAACTGACATGTAGCTTGCCACGTTGCCCAGACCTCGCAGCGTGCAGCGGGGAAGCATCGTTGAGCTGCCGGTCGGTCTACTGCCTCGAATGGAGCTTGTCTGCGACCTCAATGCGTCCATTACTTTCCAATACCTACACTAGGCTCGGACACCGTTTTCGAACCCTCGTGTGCTTGGTATTGATCACTCGATACTCCGTACAACGAATTCGCAGCTGGTTTAGCCGCCTACTTTGAGAGCCCTTTGATTCAATAAGATAGCTGTGAATAGGCGCTCGAACTGGACGGGGGCCGGGTTAGCATTTCGGGACGTCTGTAGATCCTCGCACCTCGGTGGCTCTCTCATTTGAGCATCAGTTCGATCTTCCAAGCCAATCGAACCATTCGAGAGCCCTACAATCCCTCAGGTTAGAGCTGATCGCTTAGTAAAACAGCTCCTTCCTCATTTCGACCAGAGAAATTGAGGTGACTTAGTTCGCTGTCTCAATCCCGAATGCATGTGAGATAGCCATGTGTACTGAGCAGAATGAGCGATTTTCATGGTTAGACACGTGATGTGCGGCTGGCCCCGTCCAAAGCTTGTCAGACGGAGGAATAGAGACCGCCTGAGATTCAGTGAGAGCATCGTCGAGATCAGGAAGCTGCGTACATGTTCCAATGAGACTGCAGTCTTGACTTATGCGTATACTTTCCATCCAAAACTCGAAGAGTGTAATCTATGAAGACTCGCTACTTATTCTGAACTTTGAGTACTAACACGGTACACCAATTACCATCGTCATATCATAATCCTCATTGAAGCCCTTTACAGAGCGGCTCTACACATTATCCTGATCCCATGTCGTTTGTCATTGTTAGGGTTAGTTGGTCCAGGTCCGTGTGAAGGGACATCGCTGAATCCACTTTTGGCTTTATGCGGAATCCAGCCGCAGCTTGGTAAGGAATGTCATCCACAAACTAGACTCAGTTCGGATACCCGGGTAGGCTATTCAAATTCTTCCTTGTTGTTGTAGGAGTTCTCCCCCGAAAGTCGCCGATCGCATAGTCCGTGGTTGAGGAGTCTTCTTGGGTCGTTCATGGGAGCGAGCTGGGGAATGCCGCATTGGTGAAGACGCCAACGTGTGATTGGACGCGGCGATCAGACTCTGATCAGGAGGTCAATAAGACATTACCCTCAATCTCCCGAGCGGAAGTAATCGGGCTTCACTCGACTTCAATTGATGAATTGTCCATGTACTAAATATGTAAATTCGGACTTATATAAGATAGGATATCCGTAAGAGGCAGGATATATATGTTCACTTGAGGTTTACAGTATTAATCTTCTTCACCTAATACCGCAGACTTACACGAAATCCGCACCCTCTTGCATCATGCCTCACTGTAAGCGCAACAACAACATCTCCATTTACTACCTCGATGAAGGCCCACAAGATGCATAAGCTGTACTTCTCATTCCCGGCATCACTTGCGACCTTCACGATTGGAACTGGCAGATGCCTTTCCTTCTCGCGCATGGCTTCCGAGTGATTACTCCGGACCCCAGGCGCCAGGGACGTTCATCTGCCCCCGCTCCTACTCCGGACATCAAATCATACCCCGGACCAGACGCCGATCCGTCCATTATCAACTACTATCCTCAATCCGCAGCCTTGGACTTCATCGCCCTTCTACAGCACCTCAATGTCTCATCCGTCGTCGTCAATGCTCATTCTCTCGGCACGGCCGTGGCGTACCACTTCGCCACCGTGAGGCCTGATCTGACGCGTGCGATGGTGATACTTGACCCGCTTCACTCGATCCCAAGCGAAACCGTGGACAAGTATCTCACCGACCCTCTGCTGATCTTGCAGAACCTCACCATGCTCTTTGGACCCGCCCTGTATCCCCCAACGGTCCCTGCTTGGCACTTGACCTGGGTCGGCAGACGTCGTACGGGGGGAGATATGAATGTCATTCTGGCCCAGTCATTTGCATGCTAAGTTGATCCACAAGCAGTTGGGAGGCGAGAGGTCTCTGCGGCTCAGCACGACGGCAAGATTAGGTGCCCGCGGTTGACGATTGGAAATATCGAATATTGGGTCACGACGGAGTGCAGTTATTTGTCTCCGAGCAGTGAGTTTGATGAAATACATCTTGTCGAGGGGATCGGTCATTGGTTCCACCAACTGAAGAGTGAGGAGGTCAATGGGTACCTTCAGCGATGGTTTGAGAATATTGGTCTGATCCCGTTCGAGGGACGGAACGAAACAGCCGAGACCTAGTTCTACCTTCAACGTTCACTGTATGACTAGATAATCGTCCAATAAGAACAACTCGACTCAAGGATACCCGCAGTATCCCCTCATTCAATGATATAAGACTCAGGATTACATGCAGTGGCGAACCCTCTAGTGTGGCGTGGTATCCCGTATTTGTGTGAGTATAATTACCAAGGAAAGATTTGCAGCTATATTCCATGCAAATCCTGACATGAGAGTCGCAAACAGAGCTTGAGAGTTTTCATTGACATCTCAATGGCTGAAACGAAAGTCCAATCGCTTATTGCCTTCATCCTTTGTTGTTTCCAAGTATGCAAGTCTCTGCTCTTCCGACATACCATTCCAGATCCTGTCTCTTCTCTTGTTTCGGTATACATAGTAAGCCTTCACCAATGGGTAAAGGACCAAGTTCATGCAGACGATGCCGAGGAGAGACCGATTGCCGCGTTTATACAATGGCGCATCATCTGACCTTAGAGTAAGCATTTGGACTTCATGCACGTGTGATGTTGGATCAAGAGGCTTACCAGATCGGTAGATATTAGAGGAAATGATTCCGTCGGTCTGTACAAACATGTTGTAGCAAGCAGCCGAGACAGTTCTCGACCGAACTGTGTTGGAGTTGCGACTGTTCCATCCGACCTAAACACAGGAGTCAGCAATCGCACAGAGAATAGAGAAAATTCTACAACGAATTCGTGGAAATTGGTTGGAACTCAAGAGCTTACTTGAATAGGGTGAGCTGTAATCATGTTAGTTTCAAATCCATAGCGTAATGATGTTGGTTTCAAGCCAAACTTACGATTCGGGTACATCAGAAGCAGGGTGATGACGGAGTAAAGAACCCATCTGTTGACTCCTGATGTGTCGACAACGTTGAGGTAGATCAAAAATGGGAGTGCCCACACCTGACCAGACATCGAGACAAAGGTGAGTTCGCCGATGACTTCGCCCAGGTATGTGATTGCAAGCATTGTGACCACTATCTCAAGTGTCAGTCCGGCAGATACAGTAGGTAGAAGACGTGTAACATGTACTTACTGTGACCAACGGTGTACGGAATAGCGAGAAGATTCGCTTGGAAGGTGTCGAAGCCGAGATTCTTCAATGTCAGGGTGAGGTATTGCGAGGGAGGCGTCATGGGAATTTGGAAGGTGAGACCCAGGATGTAAAGGGGCCAAAGGTCGTAGTCTTTGAGACTGTCCCACAGCAATCGTGGAGTGATCGGCTCGCGATTATGCATGCTGCTCTTGCTCGGGTCTTCGCGCAAAACCCTGTTGACGAGGATGGTTTCCTCTCTGTGTCATTTGTCAGTATCCTTCCCTAAAAGCAAAGGACGCTGGGAAGCACGAGTGCAACTCACCTTTCCGAGAACCAACCCTTCTTCCCGCGAAACCAACTCGCAGTTTGACAAGGGCCCGCCGGCATCAAAAGAAAGCCGAAAATACCGATGACCAGTGTCAAAAGTCCTTCGATGAGGAAAAGCCATCTCCATCCGGAATGTCCTTGGACGCCACGCATGTGGAGTAATCCATACGCAAAGATCGCAGAAAGAATGTCCGCGATGCTCATGGCGGTCCAGAAGAAACCGAGTCTCAGGGACAGCTCGTGATGCTTGTAGAAGTACGACAGGTAGAGAATGATCTAGTCATTGGATGTTAGCCAGCAAGATCTTCGCATCAGAGTCGTTTGTGAGAGGTGGGGGTAGCTTACGTCGGGGATAAATCCACCCTGGAGGAGACCTAACAATGCGCGGCAGGCAAGGAATGAGTCTCTTCCGTTGAGCCAGAACTGACAGCTGGCTACGATACTCCAAAGGATCATCTGTGCAGGGATCCATCGATCGGGGCCGACCCATTTGGAAACCAGCTGAGATGGCAACTCAGCACAAAGAAATGCGAGCTTGAAGACGGTGTTTCCAAGGTTGAAGTCTATGGCCTTTGTCAGCGATCATTCGGCTCATGGCGCTAGTACCTTATGTTGTGATGTAATACCATTGGTGCTCATCTTCAGATCCCCCAACATATTGTCCGTGTTTGCTACACAAGTCACATTTTAGAGTTGCGACTGCTTGTACCAAGACGATTTGAGCGCACCTTGACTGATGTTTGCACGATCAAGTTCGAGCGCCATGAACATAATACAGGCCCATATCATAATTCGAACGTCAATCTTCCGTACTTTTCCCTAAGTCAGTAGAGCACAGGGCGTCGTTAGAAAGGGGGGCAACTTCACTCACCCAAAGCATACTCCTCGGCCCACGTCCATCGGGCGAGAGGGTCAAAGCGGTGGTAGTTTTCCCTAAAGTTGATTGAATGAGACCTGATGCACCTTTGACGACATGTGGAACCGGCGCTCTTCAGACTTACCAGTCTTCACGTGGCTGATATTTCTCAGCCGAATCTGGATCGTCAAAAACACTCGGCTATATGACAGAGTCAGCGGTTTGTCGTGGCGTATAATCAACGTTTTTCTGAGATATACTTGAGTAGCGACCGCGAAAGGATCAAAGTCCTTGTTACGCTGGAACCAAAACCTCTTCTCCTCGATCGGAGCCCCAAGAGCCGGGATGCCCTCAAGAGATACGGCAGACTGGTCTGCTTCCCCCTTCTGAAAGGTGTTCTTTGCCAAAACGGTCGCCATGGTCACTGACGATGCCGGATTTCCGACTTGATGTTGAGGCTGAGGGATGAGTGCCGGAGATGATGTCTCCTCGGAGCTTTACCTCAACGCTATATAAAGCACTGTAACGAAGCAAAGACGGGTCGGCGGATCTCGGCAGAAAATTCGGGATCGTGGAGCTCTTCCGCCACCGGGACTTCACTTTCATGCTAGACTAGGTGTTCTGCGATGGCGAATGTGGTCCACATTATCACGTTGTTGCAAGGGAGATAAGCGTCGGCGTCTCCTGCGGCTGTAAGGGTCTAGAGTCGGGCTCCCTGTCCACAAGTATGTAATTTGTCCGAGATGAGCCATAAGCAGGCTTCCTTCAAGGTTCAAAGGTGTTAGAACTTGTGTTATGGGGAAAACAGACTTTTGTATATGGGTAGAAAGCCAACGGGATCAGTCGTGCTCGACCGGACAATTGGGAACAGGTCTTGACAGCATTCACATAATTGACCAGCAGCTACCAGCATGCGACGATATTGAGACCAATCCCATGATTCTTCTTGCGAGGAACCCCTTTCTAACCGCGAGTTTGCCAAAATACGTGGCCTTAGGGGACGTAAGTTTGAAGTACCTGAGAACAGATAGACTTTCATAGCCACGGTGCCCACATCCTCGGCCAAACTCCATATAGGTATTCGCACTCGCAAGGTACCGTGCAAGTTTCTGCAGCTTTGGAGACGCGTACAGCCTAGTCCGAGCAGCGGGCGACTGGTCAGCCTCTACATCCTCAATTCGCCTGCATCCTTGTCTGTGATGGGGTGGAGTGGGGGTTACCCGTCCGAGGTCGCCGTGCGAGGAAACCAGAGTCTCTCTTGGATTTTCAGCTTTCGGAAGACCCAAAAGATCCGCTAGCAAGCAACAGCTGCTATAGAAATAATTGCGGTTCTTTGACGGCCGTTGAGAGTTCATTTTGGGTCTGGATTGGGCTGCGTTGTTGAAGCTCGCCATAAGCCAAGGGTCTGACGCAAGACACCATTTCAGACCCTTATCAACGTTGTTAGGTTCCGTCCCGAGCTCGCGAAACATCGTCCGAAACCAACATCAAATAGTATCATCTAAAGTACGCTGATGCAACACTTGCTAAATCTTGTATAATACAACATACGGCCACTTTGAATTGCGGGCTAACGGAGCACCTTCACTGGCCTACATCAGTTCAACTGCTTACCCCCACGAAAGCTTCCAGCCATCAGCAACTCAGCATAAATTCTAGGAAATCTGGTGCGAGAAGTACCCCATGCTACCATGGAGCGTATGTTCAATTGTGGAAGGGGTCTTCAAGAGGTGAAATAGGCGAGGCTTGATTGGCCAATCCAGTGGAACAAAACCTTGATCACATCATTTGTGCCGGATCCACGCCATTATGTGAAGGGTGTGATCAATCACGAAATGAGCTCGCTGGCTGTCACCATCCCAATGCACGCTTCAAGTTTCCGCCTGTAAAGTGCGGAGGTTTATCGAACTTTCTAATCTCACCGGATGTCGCTTTATCGGGAGTTCGAAGTCGTAACCGCCGACAGGATGTCGCGATGACTTGCACCTCACTACTCCGCATCATGAGCGAGCCGGTCGACTTATAAAATGTCATTATTTGCGTCCGATAGAGAGTTTGGAGATCCACGAAATTGAGAACATAGACACGAGAATCACATCTCTCGCTTACTTACACAATTTAAAACATCGAATTCAATCAACTGAAAGCATGGCTCCGACAGCTATTGATACCGAGGTGCCTGTCCACACCAGCACCAAGGCTTCACATCCGACCCCGCTGAAGTCATCCAACGCATTGGGCCAATACGAGTTCTTTGACGTGACCCCAAACATTGGTCGCGAGTTCCCAAAGGCAAACCTGGTCGACTGGCTCAATGCCCCCAACGCCGACGAGCTCATCAAAGACCTTGCCATCACGAGTAAGCAACTAGGCGTGACATTTCATGTTGAGCGCAACTAATCGTGGAGTCAAGTCTCGCAACGCGGCGTTGTCTTCTTCCGTGCCCAAGACAACCTGACCAATGATCTGCAGAAGCAACTAATCCTCCGATTGGGAGAGCTCACCGGCCGACCCTCCGACTCCGGACTCCACATCCATCCGGTCCTCAACTCGGAGCGGGACCTGGGTGGGGCTGATCCAGAGATCAGCACTATCAGCTCGGTGCAACACAAGAAGATCTACCGCAAGCCCTTGGAGGGCGAAGAGCTTAGCCCCAAGAAGCAGTCGACTGCGCAATGGCATAGTGACATTGCCTTTGAGCCTGTCCCGGCCGACTACTCGTCTTTGCGCCTCGTTGAGCTCCCCAAGACTGGCGGTGGTAAGTGAAGCCCGCATCATGAAATTCAGAGTGTCAGGCATAGAGCTGATACCTTTTAGACACTCTTTGGGCATCCGGATATGAGATCTACGACCGGCTCAGCACTCCCTACCAGAAGTTTTTGGAAAGCCTTACGGTCACCTTTGAACAGCCAGGTTTTGCCGCCGCTGCCGAGCGTGGCGGGTTTACGCTCTATGATAAGCCGCGCGGCAACCCGAAGAACGTTGGCAGCATTCTCAAAGCTATTCATCCCGTTGTGCGAACGAATCCAGTTTCTGGTTGGAAGAGTGTCTTCCCTGTCGGCGGCCATGTAAAGCACATCAACGGCGTGACAGCCGAGGAAAGCAAACACCTGCTGGATTGGTTCCTGGAAATCTTGCAGAAGAACCACGATATCCAGGTTCGTCTCAAGTGGCAGAATGCTAACGATATTGGTAAGTTGATCGATGTATGTCCATAAGCGGAGTGCCAGTTACTAAGAGATTCTCGCAGCTATCTGGGACAACAGAAGTACCTTCCACACCGCAACCTTCGATTACGATGACCAAGGAGAGAGATTTGGAAACAGAGCCGTAGGTATCGGCGAGGCGCCTTACCAGGATCCCAACAGCAAGGGACGCCGTGAGGCATTGGGACTTTCTTATGTGACCGGACCATGATTTTGAGCCATGGAACTGTAAAGCAGTCTGAAATACCTCGGTTGGAACGATCAAAGTGCACCCAGGGTAAACCTGAGTCTTGATAATAACTTTGAACAGAAAAGTAAAGTGAATGTCTCATAAAACTGGTTGCTGGAATGATCAAACCCGTGAAAAGCCGAAAGCCACCCAATGTCGTAAGCGGTCAGGCATTTTGTCTCTTTGGAGTCCTTGACTCGACAGCTACCCTTCACTTGCATGAGTTAGTCGACGCATCCTTACGACAGGTTCGGCAGAAGCACTGACCTCGAAAGTCGATGAGACGAGCTACTTGCATCAATCTCATGTGCTGTGCATGAACAGCTGACGTCACTCGTCTTCATCCTGTCACGTTTGCGCACGCGGGAAGACAGACTGCCCAACACCCAACAATTCTTTTGAAATTTCAACCGCGAAGAGTTTGGCTATAGGGCATGATCATTTTCGTAGAACTTACATGGGGTTAACGATCCGTACCAACACTTCTGATCAGCAGCATCAGCCAATAGCAGGCGGGGAACCGTATCCAAGTCTCTCTAAAGCTGTTTCTCGTTCTCTTTTCCCTTTGCCTCCTTCGGTGTGCTGATGCCAATGCCCAGAACAATCAGGATTCGAACCAATACCATTGGCGCCGTCGTGAAGAAAGCAACGTAGTCCTCGACAGTCCACGTGGATCTGTCCAGCCAAACTTCCCAGCCTCCGACGGCTTGCGCAGTGCCGTGGCAGAAAGCTGCGTCGCTCAGGAGCATACCCGCACAGAGAACGCGCCATAGAGTAAGATCATCAAAGACCCGCATGACCACACCCTCGGTGAATGCGAAGTGAAGCCAACCGCCGCCGAGTTGCGTGTAGATGAACTGCGTGTTGGGTTCGTATGCGAACGCGTTGCGCGTCATTCCTGCGAGGTATTGATTCGGTGTGTGGAGGACCATAACGGCACCGAGCAGCGCGAAGACCGGCTCGAGAGTCATGATGATGAGTCGGTAGATGCCCGGGACCGCGGCAGAGCCCTTCATTGTAACCCGTTCCGAGGCCATGGTGTTCCTGTCGTTAGGTCCACTTTGCAATTTGAGAAAGTCCCTTGATTTTTCAACGAGAATGGTGCTAGTGTTCTCACGTCTGCGATTGTCGCGTCGTGATGGTGAATGTCGTGCAGGGCAGCAAATGCAAGTTTGGGGTGAGAATTGTCCGAAATTGCGATGAAAGAGGCAGCTTTAGCACTAATAAGCTGCAGCAATGAAATACCTGCCGGTCCCTAGCTTTATCAATCACTGATCGTCAAAGCTTAATTATGCCAGTTCAATGAAACACGTACTCGGATGCGCCGGCTGCGGGGCGACTAGATTCCGAGACGAGCAGCGCCAGTAATCCTAGCTCGTACGAAGATGCCGAAGAGCATGCACGGCCAGTTGTAACCGAGACAAGGAACACAGAGTATGTCAGCAATATCAGCATGAGTGCAGAGACCATCCGTTAGTTGCCTTCTATGGCTTAGACTTTTAGATGGCTCCGACTCCTTTCCTGTGTTTCGTGATATAATTAAGGCGGGATGCGGTCTTTTCCTGCGAAGGATGAAAGACCTGAACGGTTACCGGTAGCTTCATCCAGAAATGAGAGAGCTCGCAGGCAGACTGGACAGATTGACGAGAGAAGGCCTCCTCTAAATTATTCGAAATGTAGCCTGTATGTGGCCTGTGCGGTTTAAAGTTGCTACTCCGTACTTCGTACAGAAAATCGAAATCTCGAAAACGGACAGGCTTGTCAACATCCTCTACTACCTGAGTACGCCTTCATCCTATCGGGCATCTACAAGATTGAGCCATCTCTTTCTGGTAGAAATACACGTCTAGTAGAAGTTGGTCGCTTCTACTGATTCATTAAGAGAGTTGAGCACCATGCTAGAGGCAATAGAAGTGCTGAACCTTACCTCAGTCGCATGGACTGTCGAAGTGGATCCAAAATGGAAGTTTCGGCTCCCACTCGAACCATTTCTACCGAGATGATCTGGCTAAAAGTGAGAATTCTGATGGCTGATTGTGACAGGTCTGTGCGAAGAAGCCGATTGGAAGGAAGAGAGAGATGACGCTGGAAAACGTTGGAGGGCTCATGCACACTCCTCTTTTGGTTTGTGTTAAGGCAGCGCCGAGTATTTCTCCTCACTCACGCAAATGCGGACTCATCAATCCTCCTCTGAGTTCCTTGTAGGGGTTGCCGGTTGAGAACTTGTTCGGGTCCGAAACTTCAACACGGATTGACCTGCCTGAGACTAGGAGTGGGTAAGGGGCGTCAGACCATGAAGAACTTGGTGCGCAAAGCTGCTTGTGCACGCAAAGAGAGGCAATGGTCGGGTTTGAGCGTTTGGAAAGGAGGCAATGAGTATTTTCCAAATAAATGCTTTAATATCTGGAATGCCTGTGCAGTATGATTCTGCACTAGCTGATAAATGAGGTGCAACTTGGGCTTTCGGTTCTTGGTGGCGACAGGTCTCGTCCACGACTCCAGGCAATAGACAAACTCCCATGCTGCTTACGTATTTCAAGAAGCGGCTACCAAATCTGGTGACTGTAACGCCGCTCTACTTCTTGTCGACCTTGTCACTTTCACCGATGCTCTCATTTCCTTCGGGGTGAAATTCCACTCGTCCAGATTCCAAAGTTGTCTCTCCATCCTTAGACCCTTGCTTCTGTTCTCGTAGAACCAAAAGGCGAATGCCAATCACTGCAATTATTGCAGCAATGATGAAACCAAAAGTCGCAGGAAATCCGTACCCTAGAAGAGAATGTCGTCAGTAGTCTTTCGTGAATCGAGCAAATAAGGAGGGCCAATTGAAAGCTCATGTCACTGAGGCTTAATACCATCACTTGATACTTAAGTAGAGATGCGGCAAGGACTTACTAAAGCTTGGAGCCATGGTCTGTGGGAAGATGACTAGAGGAAGCCAAGCGTCGACGGCGTATTGCATTCCATTCATACTGCTGATTACCAAGGCGCGCTCCTCATTGTCGCCGGCACAAATCTCATTTGCCCACGTATAACTGAGAAGCAGCCAGTCAGCTTCGAACCTTGTGCCGGGTCTTGGATGATCTATAAGTTAGGGACTTACAATACTGCGGTCATAAGATGCACGCTGCTCGTCAGGAAAGCAAATAGTTTCAGCTGTACGCTTGGAGGCCAGCAAGCTAATATACCGTTGGGGATCAAGGCAAGCACCTGCGGTTCTGTTAGACTTGATTGCTTTGTAGGACTATCCCTCGATCTCTAGGGCTATGTCTCACCAAGGGGCAAACAATCAATGCAAAGCGGCTCCCGGTATAGTCGGAGAGGAAGCCCCAGAGAATGATACAGAAAGCGCTGATGAGCTTTGAGCCGGTCGGAATCACGTTTCTATCTACAACTGAGAACTTCTCCGCCTTGAGCCAGATGGCGAAGTATCCACCTGATTGACAAGATTCGCCATAGAGCTGATGTTAAGGTAGGTCAGTTTTCCGTGGCATATAAAGTTTCATCCATGCGAGAATATTGCACTTACGACATATCCTAAGACAAAAGCGTACCATCTCCATTTTAAGAGAACTCTCTTGAATGTCGCCAGCGTGACTCCTGCAGGTGCCGCTTTACCAGCCTTCGTGACTCGATCAATCGCCAACTCGCATTCTTTTGCGGTCAGGAACTTGGACTTGGTGGTGTACGGCGTGTCTGGTAGAACGAAAAAGGTTGCGACACCGACGGGAATCGTCATGCACTAATACAACAAGAGATCAGCAACGTGGTTCAACTCCAATAAAATCAGGTAGGACTGTGGTCGGAATTGACTAACCCCACAGACAATGTATAGCCATCGCCATCCTGCATGACCATGGGCGCCATCGAGGCTCTTGTAAACCGCCGCTTGTAGATACCCGCCAAAAGCCGCACCCAGAGGGGCGGTCATGTGAAAAATGGCGACTCTCTTCGCAAGTTCGGTCTTGGTGTACCAGCTTCCAAGTACATAGAGTAGGACAGGAAAGAAGGAGCTTTCAAAGAAACCGACGAGAAACCGAAATGCGTAAAGCTGGCCGACATTCTGCGTCCCTGCTTGGGCAAAAGTAAAGACTCCCTAGATGACCGCGTCAGATCTAGGATTGATGTGCCAGCATCGCAAGGAATCATAGGTTGGGACTTACCCATCCGACTTCCATTGCGGCTAGCCAAATGCTCGGCCTGATCTTCTGAACTATCAGAGTGCTGGGAATCTGCATCACAGCATACGCGCAGGTATAAACCATCTGGGCATACGTGTACTCGTTGGCAAACATCTTGAGATCCTCTTGCATTCCCGATACATAGGCGTTTGCAAGGTTCCCCTGATCGAGGTACTTCATGAAGAAGCCCAAGCATCCTATGGTCAAGATCGACCAATCCAGCTTTCGGAGCAATACGCGCTCTTCATGGCTTTTCAGATGGGTATCTGTGTCCCAAATAAATGAACGAAATGATCGCGATGGCGCATTCGAAGGCTGAGGCGCGGTTTCTGCCATCGTGGACGTATCGAGGCGGGACGTTAAAGACGTCAGAAGTTGCAGAACAAACAGAGAAAACGGTCATGAATTTCAGCAGGATGCAAATCCCTTTATTACTCCAAATCGTCCACTGGCCTGCGCCTGCCATCAGAATGATGTTTCTGCACATACTAGATGGGCAGATATGCACTGATAGCACGGAATGGCCACTAACAACGATCAACACGGACATGCAAGCCAAAAGTAGAAAGGTCCAACTGCCGCGGCTCGGGCGACAGACTGATGGTTCCGTCTCATTGAGAACATGTTGCAGAGCGACCCAGCATCTCACTGGGGCCATCGGGGTCATTCCGACGAGTTCGGCCAATAGTAGTTGAGATGAGATCGCGGGGGATGATAAGGCGACAGAGGCAGGGGGCGATGACGAGCTCAGCCAACCACCCGGACACTCTCCGGGGATTAAAAATCTCGGAGTATTCGTACCGACGGGATTAAAGCAGGCGGAATGACGATGCTGCGTTTTCTTTTAAGTGAGAGGTGCGATCCTCTCACTCTTCTTCAATCCTAACGTATTACACGTACATGATGAATGAGGCAGTGCTTGAGAGTTGTAAGGAGGAGGCCGGGTGGAAGATATTGCTGACTTCAAATTTTCAACCTGAATATAAGATTGGTTGAAAGATAGTATCTTCGGCCGCCTTGATTACTTGTGTTTGCTGATACTTTGATATCTCCTGACTCTTCACTCAATCCTGTCTTGGGCCAGGCAACGTCAAGTTTGGTCCTTTGCTTTTTCGTGCTCACTCTTAGGCAATCTCTTCTCTTACCCCGTTCCACTAGTCCGTAATCATCTCACGTAACATGGAGAAATGAAGGTTGTCTCATATTTCAAGATATATCTATTGCTTTCTGAAGAATGGGCTAAGGTACTGAGGGGCAAAGAAAAGTGAGAAATGATTTGATTCAGTCTTCCTAAAATCAATAGATAGGTTCCTCTGCAAACAAACGAGGTAGTTGGTCTCGTACACCCAGTGGGTCTTAATTTTTAAGCTGACTGGACGACATATTAGCTTGGAGGTTCACCCATTTGAGCATAACCTCAACACAAGTACTAAAGCGCTCTGTGGTAGACAGATATGTGAGTTGTGAACATGGTTGAGGACTAGGAATGTGAGAGCAGACAAAAACTGAATCGCAGAGGAACCTCGACCATCTGTCGTGGTGGGTGCCAGCGCTCGAACCACATGTTACCTTCTGCAGCACAGGGTACATATAAAATCCAATCAGTTCACCCAGCATGAACATTGAGATTCACATCACTATCATAAACATGTCTTGTTGTGTTGTTATCATGATGGCATTAATATTATGTAGCTACACTACTTGCTATATGGCTTGCTCAGTAAACGTTGTGCTCGCCGTGGGAGCAGCTCTTAGCATGCTCAGCTTGCTCAGAAGCCAAGGCCCACTTTTGGAACTCGCGGCGGATGGCATCACGGCTGCGGCGAGCGGGGGTGGTGGTAGCACGGCGAGGCAGGTCAGCAGGGAGCTCGTTGGCGAAGTCAGCGGCAACACGGGCAGCGGCCTTGGCGTTGATGGTGAGAGCGTCCCAGTTGATGTTGTCGAGGGTATCGCAGGCCAAGTGGTAGCACGGGTCGGTAGGGGCGCCAGCCCCGGTGAAAATTCCGGAAGAGGGGATGCCAAGCTGGAGGAAACCGACGTAGTCGGAGCTGGAGCCGAAGCCACCGAAGGCAGCGGGCTTACCCTGAGCCGCGATATAGTCGTGGATAGGCTGAGCACCGAACTTGTCGCCCGCGTTGTCGCCGAGGTAGACGTTGTAGACAGGGTTGATGGAACCGATCATGTCGTAATTCCAGTAGAAGCGGATAGCATCGGCCTCGGCCTCGGAAAGCTGGGCAGTGTAGTAAAGAGATCCGACGAGACCGGACTCCTCAGCACCCCACCAGATAAAGCGGACCTTATTCTTGAAGCCGCTGTACTTCTTGAAGGATCCAGCAATCTCGAGAAGGGCGGTGGTACCGCTGCCGTCATCGTTAACACCGGGCCCGGCCTGGACGGAGTCCAAGTGAGCACCCAGGACGATAACGTTGTTAGGGTCGCCCTCCTTGGTCTCAGAGATGATGTTCCAGGTCTCGCGCTCATCCCAGATGGCATCGACAAGAAGGTTGACCTCGAGGGTCTCGCCAGCAGCCAAACGCGTCTTCCAAGCGGTGGCATCCTCGAGGGGAATAAGACCGACGGGCACCAGCAGGCCCAGGTTCTCGGCGCTGAGGGTAGCAGAACCAATGTCCTTGCCCGGGGTCTGGTTGTACAGAATAACACCAACGGCGCCGGCGGCCTTGGCGAGCTTGAGCTTATCGGAAATGGCGCAGACACCACGCTTCACGAGAGCAAGCTTGCCCGTGGCATCAATGCCCGTCCACTGGTCAGCGAAGCAGCCAGAGCCTGCGAGTGATTAAGTCAGCCATTGTTGTCATGCCACTGTTGACAGATTCCTCTTACCTCTGGTGTCATCGACTGGAGTGTCAATGAGAGGGGCCGTGTCGCCGCCGGGGAGAGTTGTCGGGTGGTTGTATTGAAGAGCGACAACGTAAACGTCCTCTCCGTCCGGACCGGTAACGCTGATCTCGCGTGTTTGAGAGAAAGTGTGGTTGAAGTACTGGACCTTGGTGTCCAGCTGCTTGTAGAAACGGCCCTGGACACGCTCGAGGATGTAATCCGAAGAAGCCTTGTAGCCAGGCAGACCGAAGGCTCGGTTGCCACCATTGTCGCGGGCAATCTTATTTAAGTTCCAGAGGTTGCGCTCGAGTCTGTGTATGCAATGTTAGATGCCTTCATACAGTGATTCCAAGTGGGGGGTGAAAAACCCACTCCTCGGTTTTGATGTCAGCTTCTGCCTTGTCTGCTGTGAGGGGATCGTTTGCGAAAGATCGCAGCGCGAACAGCGCCGCGGCGAGAGCGGCGGAGGTCTTCATCGTGAATGGAAGCTATTCTCAGCCGCGAATTGAGGCACGAGATGAGTTTCAATGGTTTCTTGAGGATCCCAATGAACGGACTGATCATCAGAGGAGGTCAATTGATTCGGCCAGCGGCGCGGCGAGGACATTTATATGCTCCATGTCTATGTCTTCTCGGCGCGCCAAGAGCATGGCTACGGCGGAAACAAAATTGCGCGATAAGACGACATGCAGTAACACCGTATCATGAGTAGCGGGGGAGTTTGCGAGCTCGGCTTGTGCTGGTGCAGGGCAACAGAGCTGCGTGGGGGGGGGCACGTTTGTCGTGTTTACGGTTGACTCGCCACAGGAACCTAGGCGTGGCAGGGTAGGATAGCTTCACAACGTCGTAAAGATAGATGCTCAGAGTGGCGACACGAGCTTCGGCTTGGATGAACTGCGTCCAAGGGTCTGGTTACCTGGTAGGCCTACTCCTTGGCCGGCAGCTTTACTGAGGCATCAATGCGTCGCGGGCGATGCTACCTCTGGCAGGTGAACGATGTCGGGTGTTCTTGGCAGAGTACTTTTGCTGAAATCAATTGCGAATGTTGGTCTAAGGTTGAAGGCCATACCTCAGCCGATGCCGATGCTAAGACGCGGAGAGCAGGTCGATGAATGAGGGGCGACGCGGAGCAGGCGTAGTGCTTGGGAGAAGCATGGAAGACATGGAAATGCAACAAGCTCTGGGCTACTGGCGGATCTTCCCCCTCTGGGCTCTGTGGATCATCGTTGCTCTATCGGGCAGGTGCCAAGCCTTACAAGAGGGGCTTTTGTAGAGAGTGGCTTAGAGAAACAAGTCTAATCAGACCGTGGGCCGTGGAATATCTTACCTCTTGTTCGTTGACATGAGTCCCCTTCCCTACATGTACTTTTGCTCCAAGAAAGCTTTACGAGGGCCACAAAGTTACTTTTCAAGATCCAGTACATGTTTCTTCATGAAGTGCTGAAGGCTGATTGTCGCTGCCCTGACTCGTCTGGTCCACTGCTTTCAACATAAGCCCAAGTGTGAGTCTTGCACGGATCACATCAATAATCACCCGCGAGTTACCGCCTGTAAGCTCCTCGCGTGTGTGCCTGCATGCTGTAGCTACGGCGTTGCACTGCAGCTGGGGCCAAGTGAATTGGGTCAGCTAGATCAAGAACATCGCGCCACTGTGAATTGAGTGCTCGTCTAGGACTCTACACTCCAAACCCACGTATTACCAAGGTCGTAGGGTTAATTGGGTCTGGTAGTAGGACACTGCACGAACTTGAACATCCCCGAGAACTATGTCAACTGATCAACATGTCGGTCCAGCCACCCAACTTCCTCCCATTGGCGCAAATGATTGAATGTTTTGTCGAAGTAAGGTAACAGTTGTCAAGACATTCCGCCAGTGCGCCGCAAATTTCTCCCCTTCCTTTGAGACCGAAAGCGACCCTAGTAAAGAGGCGCTGGGCCAAGATGACGGGAAAGGCATGTGCTTATGGTTGGATGCCGGCTCAGAGACTTGGCAAAGTACAATGCAATCAGTTGTCTTGGCGAAGCGGGGAGTTGCGGATTGATGCGATAACATCCATGGCCGGGCGTGCTCTACACTACCTTTGCTTGCTTGACGGCTATGTTCCCTGCAAGGTTTCTCTTCGGAGATGGCGATCGGCCCCACGACAGGTTAATTTCGTACCTACGGAGTAGTGTGAGTGGGATGCCGGCCCGGCAACCTTCGTTGGTCAACACTCGGTAAATGGTGATGTATCAGTGGTTTAGACTTTAGATATCCGTAATGTTAAGCTCCATGATTTCTGCTTGATACTTGATGTAATGAGATTGGAAAGAACCATGGCCTAACTCGTTCTTTCAAAAGAAGTATGAAGACAAATGGAACGTTTGTCAGTTGGAGTACGTGACAGTGCTTTAGGTCCTAATCTAGTAAAGCAATCAGATGGTGCTTGACAATCCGTACACCTTTTCTTTTTCCAGCAGACAACTTTGCGGAAGGCTACACGTCTCAATCTCCCAAGAGAAATTCATCGAGAAAGTTCAAGTGGGATTAAGCTTTTTGACGGCTAACAACGATCATGCAATGACTTGCATTTGCTAGGGCCCAAGATCTCGGGTCATGTTGGCTAAGGATTCGGGGACCTTGATGGTCGTGCCCTATGGTCTATAAGCGCAGTCCTTTGAGCCGTTCCCATTCTCCTTGTCGGCCCAAGGTCGCAGTGGGGTTCAAGCCGATCCTCGACTACCTTACTCGGTGGTCCACGGGTAGATATCTAGCGGCCTTGACGTTGGTCCGCATTTCGAGGCGCATATGGAATGTAACCCTCGTGCCTACATGCCCGGGTGAGGTAACCCTCCGTGAGCTTTCATCATGCCCTGGTTCATGATTTAGAAAGGTAGGAAGCAGATTCTCCACCTTACTGATGAAGTCGTAAAGAGTTGTCATTGCTAGCTGTTAGAGTCGAACGACGAAGGCCGATACTTGGTAATCTTGTATTGAATGTTGACAGCAAGGATGTTTTCAACTAATAATGAGACGCTCAGATCCCACACGCCTCTATAAACATTAACGAGAATAGGAGATTCGAGCCTGAGATATGCACTTAAACCAGCGCCATCGTTCGCCTTTAATCTCGTTTGCGTGCAACTCACATCAGCCAGAGAGCCTCGCGTCGTTCCTCGCTATCATGTGCCAATCTTCCTCAACGACACTACTACTTGCCGACGCTGCTACACTAGAAAGGGTATTCGCACTTCCCTGCTGTCCAACCTTACTCTCCAAAATCTTCTTGATCTCCGCATGTGCCACACCGGCACCTCGGAGCGTAGCAGGTGTAACCCTCCGATCAGCACCATGTGCTATCAAGAGTCGAACAATGTCGACTTTCTTCTTGATGAAGGCAGCTTGATTTCCCGGCTTTCCTCGATTCCTCACGTTGAGCTTTGCTTGGATCGCTGCCATGAGGGGCGTACACCTTTCTGGGCCACAGATTTCAGGATCTGCCCTGAAAGATTGAAGAAGAACCGATACTACATCTCTGTTTCCCTTTTCGCATGCATGAAATAACGCAGTTTTGCCGAAAAGGTCTCGAGCATTGAAGTCCAGCGAAGAAAGAGAACTTTCACTCCCTCGACTCTGAACGGGTGAAATATCCAAGCGCGTCGTCGACACGCGCCGTAATGCTCCGGTCTCCGTACCGACATGGACGCTAGGTCTCCGGGCAGACGTAGCTGTGAAGATCTCCTCGGCAAGTTCTTCTGTCTGGCATTTGTGAAGGATGTTACGGCCTTTTTTGTCTTTGAAATTGGCACAGGCTCCATTTTCTAGCAAAAGTCGCACAGCTGACACATGGCAAGCCACCACCGCCGCCATCAGAGGTGTTTCTCCCTTGCCGTCAGGTATCTCAAGATCCTGTGAGTATTGTATGACTTGCTCGAGAACAGCAACATCCATATCATTGTCTGCAATGGCGGCGAATAAAAGTGGACGATTATGTTCATCTTGGACATCAAACTTGGGCCGGTTCATGTCATCCAGTTCTGCTTTGTGGAAGCCGTGCAGACGAGCCCATGTCAAGGCTGCATCGAACTCGTTGTGAGGCAAGTCTTCTAGGGGCCCAATTTCTTCCTCAATCCAGTCTTGGATAGCCAGGAACTCGGCGTGATTTCCCCGAAGGCCTTGTACGTGGCGCAAAAGTTCGTAGGTTTCCATAATGCTTTCTCGATCCCTTGGATCTTCCCGTAGCCGAAGTTCGATGGAGGTTTGAAGGTGGCGGCAAGTACCGAGAAAATGTTGGCCGTCAAAGAGTAACTTTCCAAGTTTGTGGTGTAGTCTTGATGATCTGGGTAGATCGATTGGATCTTGTATGTCGCAATTTTCATTCAATTTCTCCAGAATACCTCGCGCCTTCACGGTCCCTTCTTTAGTCCCACACAGAATGTTGAGATCTGCGAGTTGCTCAAGCATATCTTGCTGTTCTGGTTCATCGAAGTCTTTCTCTCCTGCTTCTGCCAATAGCTTCCTGATCTCCACCGCCTCTTGAAGATGTTGAGTGGCATTATCGAATAATTCACCAACTCGTAGTAGCTCCACAATCTCTACCGTTCTCTTGTATTTGTGAAGCTGAAGTCGAGCATTGAAATGTGGATTCTCCTCGAGTGGCTCTGAGCGTTCACTTGAAATGGAACCTCTGGAGTAATTGCCATTTAGTCGAGTTCTAGAGATCCTGAGATTCTCGTCTCCTTCGAGGAGGACCTCTTCCGCTAGGCTGATAGCTGACCTACTCCATTGTTCGATTGTCCTTGTAAACAAAGAGTTATCGACTTCTGGGCCTTCGATAGCTATTTGACTAGGGCCAGCTGGCATGAGGGTGCGTTGAGAGACTTCGACTTCGACACGAAGTCTGCGTGCAACACACTGCACCTTTCCTATTATCTCGGTATGTGGTTGCTTCGCTTCCAATGTTTGTGCACTGTATCGAAAAAACGTCAGTCATATATGGGGGTCTGCAGGAGATATATCCTCACAGTGACATGGTAGATAGACTGAGGTTTAACACGGAAGTGTAATGGCTTATTTCCTCCGACGCTTGCCGAACATCTTCTCGACTAAACGCTAGGTCCCATGCCATCCTTAGCTTCCGAGTATGGCCTGGTCCTTTACTTTCGATAGCATTTAACCGTTCTGCTAGAGTTTCGAGAGATGTCCGGCAGTTCTCAATAACGTTCCGGATGCATGCAAAGTGTTCATCTTCCGATTTCAGAAGGTGAGCCTTCCTTCGCTCTTTACACGCATCGCGAAGTAGCTGTAGGCAGCTATCTAAAGCTTGGACTCTCGACTGGAGGCGTGATACATTGCTCTGTGAGTCCTTGACAGACTTGATAATTTCGTGAATTTTCAATGCGGCCTTACATGTCGGATGTATAAGACCGATTATAGCTGCTGCTGTCTCCATGTTGAATGTTGATACAATGGTATTCTTTTTGTGGCATTATCGAAAGTGGGAGGTTTCAATGATTGACGCTGTAAGATCTGAGAGACGTGAGGAGATGGGTGATTATGTTCCTCCCATACAGGTCAGCATCAGATACTCTCACGTCACAGTTCCTGCTCATTGGCCAGCCCAGACCATCACACGACAACACACCCAACAGACGTGGACCGTCAACTTTGCATGCCAAGTTCTACCAGGCTGCAAACTTTGCCACTTCTATCTAAAAAAAAGACTACAGAAATTACACCCAGTCTGCATTTTGGGCGAACTGTACGACCCAATCCATCCGAGCCGGTCTGCCACAGAGGTAGGGTGCCTCGTTCAACCTTCTCCGCGCCATCCACATGAGAGGACTCACCCCTGTACTCAACATCAGGCCGGAAACACTGTCTATATGAAAGAAGTGCTACGACAGGCTGTCAAGGAGGTGGCAAAAGCCTGGGCATGTGTTCACATGCGTCACTAGCCATTCCGCGGTCTGAGTCTCGATGAACTTCAAGGCTGCGGTTCTCCCTCCATGTCGAGGTTCAGATCTGCATGTCTCTGCACCTTGCACACCGGTATACCTAGACTTTAGTAGAAAGTTACACATTTCTTACATCGCTGATCGTATACGAAGTACTCAAAGGCTGACCGACATCCGAACAGTCCAATGGCATTAGGAACCTAACGAGATATGTGCACTTCTCAAACCTGGTTCGGGGGCAACTTGTGGGGGACGGGGTCTCCCCGCGTTTGCATGCCTGGATGCCTTCAATCATTGGGGCTTAGCTCCTAACACCCTCCGCACTTACATGTATCCCAGTGTCTCCTCCAAATGCAAAGGCTTTCTGTGTATCATTTTCCTGCAGGCCAAATGCACAATTTTCATGGGTTGCGTACTTTGTCTCTACCAATCGTTTGTCATATCTATCTCATTGGCCATAAGGATTTGTCAACAATACAAATTGACTGAACATCACATGACGGGAGAGTAAATCATTCTGCCTAGGCAGAATGCCTCATGGTTGCCTTTTCTTGGCTTCTGCAATCGAATGCCGGACGTCGTTCACTGTGACACCTCGACAGCCTCACTCGCTCCCTAATGTCATCACAGATCTAGTGCAACTCAGCCGTCTCGATGTTTTTGCGCAAATGATGCTGGAAGCAGAATAAAAGCCGAGGATATAGCACCTTGAGTAGACGGTATTATTAGACAAGGGCCTTATGTTCTCATGAGTTGGTGACTACAAACTCAATTGCCGCTTCTATCCTTTGCATGCTCACCTCGTCAAATGACCGAACCAATGGCAAGTTCCAGTTCCATCGCCGACAGGTTTCGGGCGCAAGTTTCTCGCAGACATATCAATACAGAAGCTATCATCGAGGCTCCATTAGGTAAGTGTGCCAGCTCTATTGTCGAAGAGGCCCATGGTCCTGAAAGTGCTAACCCCCTTGACCTTACAGTTCATCTTGATGATGACGAACTTGAGGAGGACGTGCGCCAATTTGCCGAGAAGCTACCTGGTGTTCCTTTCAAAGACATACTAAAAGCAGCTCGAGTGGCAAAAGAAGTCCGAGCATGCATGGATGAGGGCCTTCAAGATACTCTACCCATCGAATTTCGAGTGACAGACGACGAGCGGGCGGCTCTAAGGGCAGAGAGAGACAAAGCATTTTCCCAGGGTGGCATGACTGTCATCGTCGTTACTGTAGCACTGGCAGCCCTGCTACAAGGCCATGTTCAAGCTTCGATCAATGCCGGCAGTATATACGCGAGACTTCTTCAAGTCTCCAGCACACCTAATCAGAATAGTCCACCGTGGCAGCTTGGCGCCATGAACTCAATACCATTCTTAGCGGCCGCCATCGTGGGCGCTCCGATGTCACTCCCACTAAATTACTGGATGGGCAGACGAGGTGCCATTGCTGTTGCTGCTGCTCTTATCTTCGCCAGCTCTCTGGCTTCTGGATTTGTGCACACGTGGCAACAGCTTCTTGGCGTCAGAATCATCAACGGTCTTGGTGAGTCAATCGTTCACATTTGGACTTTTCGGAGTACCTTAAATCTCAACACCACGAGACCATCAACATTAATCTTCTCAACGGATTTTGGTGCTGACGTTTCTCCAGGAATGGGCATCAAAGCCGTCAGCACGCCGATTCTTGCATCAGAGACTGCGATTGACCAATGGAGAGGATCTTCTATTCTGATGTGGCAGCTATGGTAAGCTCTCACAGTCTGATCATCTATCTGGAGAGAACTTTGGAGTACTTATCAGAGTCACATACTCTAGGGTGGCCTTCGGCATCATGCTGGGAAATGCCGTCAATCTCATTCTCGCTGGTGCAGTTGGGGCTCTGGATTTTCCGGTCAAACCATCAAACAACAATTATTCTCCGAGTGACTCTCTCGACACCAAGGGCGACTTAGCTCTTCGATTGATTCTAGCCGCTCCTATGGTTCCTGCAATTTTCACGCTCATTGCGCTGGCATACTGCATGGAAAGCCCCCGATTTTACATGCAGAAGAACACACCAAACTACCGACCCATGCGCGCCTATGAAATCCTGTCCAAAGTGCGGAACACACAGGTCTGTGCCATCTTCACTGTCTTGCTTTCACCAGAACTGACTTAACCTCAACAATATAGCTCCAAGCTCTCCGAGATGTTTACCTCATCCACAAGAACGTCGAATACGAAGAGTCGTCGGACTCACCGGAGACGCCTGATGAGCCAAGCGTGTCCATGAAAAACCAGAAACAGGGCCTAACGTTTGCCAATCATATGTCATTCGCCTTGTCAGATGCCTATCGGCAATACAGTCATCTCCTGACTACTCTACGATTGCGGAATGCTGTCTGGAGTACGTGTATAGTGGCTCTCGCACAGCAGCTTTGTGGAAGTAGGCTTTCCCGTACGGCGATTTGTCTTGTAGAATAGGACTGACTGAGTGACGTAACAGTCAATGTGTTCGCCTTCTATTCAAGTATGGCCATCCTCTTGGTCCATTGGGACTAGCGCGGTGAAAGCTGACCGATCCAACAGACAACTTCTTTATTCAAGAGGAACCAAGCCCTCGCAACGCCATGCTTTATAGCTTAGGCTTCGGTAAGTAATTTTGGGAACCCTTACGGAGTCAAGATGGACCTTTATTTGACACTATCATCCCATTATGGTAAATAGGTGCCGTCAATTTCTTGTTCGGCCTCCTTGCCATTAGGTGAGCTTCCAAATTCGTATCATGTTCCTGAGCAGCCGTGCTAATACGTCCTTAGATCGATTGACAACTTCGGTAGACGTCGATGGCTACTTGTCACACTGCCATTAATGTGCATTCTTCTGGCCGCAGCAGCTCTGTCTTTCCTGCTTCCTAAGGGACCGACTCAGATTGGAATCATTGCATTATTTATATTTTGTCAGTCTAATAGATGATCACACGCCTGATTTTGTCTGACTAACACGATATCAGTATTTGCGGCTGTGTACTCGCCAGGACTTGGTCAGTGCCGCTGTAATAGTATACAAGGAAACCAAGCATTTACTAACTCTTACTTCGTGATTACAGGTCCGATACCTTTTACACTTGCTTCTGAGAGGTGAGCACTTATCTTATTTACGAGATACCCGCCGGGGTCATGAAATGATGACTGCTAACACTCAACTAAGTTTTCCCCTTGCTCACCGCGAAGCTGTAAGTCCAAGGCTCTTCAAAGCCGCACGCAAGACTAATTGAAGGATTTAGGGATGTTCCGTCGCCATCTCAGTCAACCTGTTCTTTGCGGGCATACTCACGATCGTTTTCCCTGCCGTCAATAATGCATTGAAGTCGTGGGGTACGCTGGCGCTGTTCGCTGGCCTCAATCTGGTGGCCTTTGCGTTAATTTTCTTGCTAGTTGAGGAGACCAAACAAGTGAGTCTTGAAGAGTTGAGTCTCATCTATGCAGTACCGAAGAAGGATTTCGCACGGTTCCAGCTCAGAGAGCATTTGCCGTTTCTGGTGAAGAGATATCTGACACGCACTTGGAATGGCGGCGACCCACCCAACTTCTACACAAAGGTCATTGACGGTTCCTATGCTCCCGACATAGGTCACGAGTTGGAAACAATGCGACGGGATGAGTCTGTGGATGAGTGATGGCTTCTAGATAGAGGAGATGTTTCTCTTACTCGTTATGACGGTCAGAGTCTTGGATCAAGATGACATTCGACCTTTTTGTTGTAAAGAGTATGAAGCCTTGGGTGGGCTTAATATGGAGGCTGGACTGGTGTTAAGCCTAGCGTGCCTAGGTAAATGAAGTAATGCGACCCATGCAAAGTGAAGGGCGTGGATAGACAGCTGAGACACTGGGTCTCTGCGTTAACGCGTCAGTCACGACGTCATTGATATAAGCAAATATCACTTCATATTTCATTTGACTACTACCTCGTCATAAGTTAGGAGGCATATGATATCTAGGTTCTCGGGGAAGTGGTCTGATCACTTCAAGCTCCATGGAAGCATGTTTATCAGGCCTCCAGCATCGCCAGATGTAACAAAACTTCACGTATACGTCGCTTGTCACACAATGGCTCATTATCTTGATCGCAGTGGGACACGTTTTTGTCGAGCATCCACGCGTTGGTCAACATACCAGCCGCAAACAGTGAAAGCAGCGCCAATCTCACCCGCGGTCCGTCTTATTCGGCTGCATTGTAGTACTGAGTTGTACCTACTACTTCGGTCCGTCGTACCCCACGATCCTCCGTTGACGCCACGAGTGCTTAGCATTAACGTCAGTGCTTTAGGTTCGAATCGTAAACTACTCGGGTTGTACTTTTTCATCCACAATGAAAAACACGACGCTGGGAACGATTGGGTATTCGAGAATTCGAACGGAGCAAATATTTCTCAGGCTGCCTGAGGGATTCAGCTCCTTTGACCCTCCCGACGCCTCACGGGAACCATCTGAAATCGGCAATCTGAGATTGTCCAGTGATGTTTCCGGCTTCCGAAGACACCTTCAGCTGACATCCATTCAGATGGCGGCGTCCTGATGGCTGGCTGATCTGAAAATCCCCAGATGAGATTTGGTTTGTGATGTTCGTTGAACAATGGGACGGCTCCGACAGTTGAGATTTGGCGCGTCTCGTTGATATTGTGACAGGCCTCATGTCTGTGCGGGGGTGATATCGAGATCAGCAAAAGCGGACAACCCGAGAGGCTGGGGCTGAAGCGAGGGTAGCATCCGTAAGGGTTAAGAAATGGGGACAGGGCGTTGTTAGCTTCATGTCGAGAGAGGCACTGTAAGTACGTATTAGAAAGGAACGTGAAGGAAAGGCCAGACGCGACCTCATTTCCTCCAAAATATCAACCGTCGGAAAGGTTGAACTCGATCCTACTGCTTCCCAACGGTGCCTTTTCTGGGGAAGGAACGTGAAGAATCGTGGATGTAACACCGTTAGATTAGGGAATTCCAACTCTCTCGCGAGCCACTCTTTTGGGAATCGAGGTCTTGCGTCGCCGGATTGCCACAACACCACACGCCCCGAACTGGTGTTCCTCGAAGATGGACTAGCCCTGTTGGTGGAAGTCAAAATTGCCAGCTGAGAGCGTGTCTCAGACGCCACGTTCGCATTCCCATCCCAGCTGACTCCACACGCTTAGCTTCCGTGATGATGTCGACGAGAACAGGGTAAGCCCCTGTGACGGCGCTAAGCCCACGAGGATGAGATTCGCACAGCAAGTACGCTTTTGTAGAGCTGGATCCCTCTAGATCAGACCGCACGGGAGCGATGCGCGAGGCTGCGGACTGCTACGGAAATGTTTCACATCCACGAACTACACGCCTGCGCATTCCGTCCAATGACAAGGGGAGTGACAGGTGTCAAATCGTCCGTAATGTCTCAACGTGTCGTCCCCTTTGGGAGCCGTCAGGCCAGCCATGAAAGTATCGAGAAACCTTGAGGTTTTATCCGGCATATTATTTAGCTTTGCTTTCCAAGAATTGGAATGCCACCATGGTTTGGAAGCCCTACGAAAAAAAGTGCAACTAGCCAGGAGCTGGGGACCCGCATCGGCGGCGATTCCTTCCTTGACCTCATCAAAGATGAGCGTCCCGTCTACACAAGCTACGTCGAGGGTGACGTCCTCGCTTCATAGTGGGCAACCTAAAGCCCATCAATGACCACGACCGGTGCCGCAACCGAGACAAGTTCCTCCTGGATGCTCTCTGTGGCTGGGGAAGACTACCAGCCATGTGCGGGTGTGTGTACGCTAATTGCCGTTAGGTCCATCGACCTCGTTCCGGAGAGGAGTCCAGGCCTTGTAGGTTGGCGTAGTCTCCCAACGCCATGGGTCGCGTGGCGTCACCGGCGACGACCAGTTCTTCGAGGCATAGCCGCTTTAGGTTGGATTGCTTTCTCGCTTGCTTTCTCGCATGGGGGTTGCGACAAATGCGGGTTTGAATATCGACGTAGCAAATGGGGTACGCTCTCAAGAGCGATGTATCAGTTGCACACCCTCTTGTAAGGAGGGAAGCCTCCGAGAATCGAGAAGATATAAAGGAGGTCCGGGGAGAGATCGACATTCTGTTCTCGTTATAAGGACAGGCGTGTCTTGGAGAAAATCATTCTTCATCTTGAGCTCGGAAGCTTGCAGTCATAGACTTGGAGATCGAAAATCAGTTTTCTTGACTTACGCATCTTCTTCTTTTCCAATGGCCAACCCGAAAGTCGCTCGCCAGCTTTCAGGCGATAGCTCGAACATTGCTGGCACGCTACCCATGCTCAACATTGCCAACACTGCGAGGAACAACATAGTAGCTGTTCTCGGGGAGTTTGTCGGAACATTCCTCTTCCTTTTCTTTTCATTCGCCGGCACACAAGTTGCCAACACGCCTCTTGGGGCACCTGGGTCGGATCCCAACCTTCCATCCATCATCTTCATCGCACTTTCATTCGGCGTATCCCTTACAGCAAATGTGTGGGCATTTTACCGAGTCACAGGTGGTATGTTCAACCCAGTGGTAAGTTCTGCCCTGTTCCAGCTTGATATGTTCATGCAACTCATGCAAGATCTTCATAGGTAACTCTCGCCCTCACCGTTTGCGGTGGTCTGCCACCATTGAGGGCTCTGCTCATCATGCCCACACAAATCGTTGCTGGACTATGTGCAGCTGGGGTCGCTTCTGCAATGTTTCCCGGTCCCTTATCTGTTACCACAGGACTAGGCGGGGGCACGAACACGGCCCAGGGTTTCTTCATCGAGGTCATTTTGACCACCCAGTTGGTGTTTGTCATCCTCATGTTGGCCGTTGAGAAGCATCGCTCCACATTCCTCGCTCCTGTAGGCATTGGTCTATCATTTTTCCTTGCCGAACTCACTGGTAAGGACAGCTTATCCTGTTTCCCCCTAATTTAGGACTAACATTACATTCCGCAGGCGTGTACTTCACCGGCGGTTCCCTCAACCCAGCTCGATCTTTTGGACCTGCCGCTGTCAATGGGGTATTCCCCAGCTACCATTGGATATACTGGCTTGGTCCGGTGGCTGGATCCCTGATTGCTTGTGGATTCTACCTGCTGTTGCGCAACCTTCGATATTATGAGTGTAACCCTGGCCAGGACGATGATGGCCGCGAAACTCGCAGTGAGCGCAGTTTCAAGCCTTAAAATTGAAATTAAGGGTACTATAGAATGGGAACCTGTGTCGCAGAACGCTCTTGTCTTGAGGAATTAGGGTTGTCAGGTCGAAAATGGGCGTACAGGCGTTGGGCGTCATTCAATAATAGCATTAATGCTGGTTTGATTCAGGTCTGACTAAACAGAAAACATTTCAACACCGTTCGACGTTCGTTAATACCAAGTATGAGGCCTTATTGTGATATCTGGGCTGCATTTGAGGCCTCGAATACGTATTCTGAGCATCAAAAACTTAACATTGATACACGCATCACTCGTCGCATATTTTTTTTGGCGATCCATGGTTGTGCAAGAAATGGTCGTCGCCGGGGTGCACGTTTTTCTCAAAGGATTACGATGGTTTGGGCCATTGAACAGGAGCCGGGTGAGACAATAAGCTTCACGATAGTAACGATAGATGAATTGATAGTACGCATGCATTGAAACTATAAGTTTGATACACGCTGCGGTGATGGTGTTATGTCCTGGCATGGTAAGTATCCTCACTATTCAAATCAATGAGAATTGTCAAACAAGTTTGATATCGTGGGCGCAGGGGTGAGGTTGCCGCGGCCATGAATAATTATCTCACGATGTCTTGGTTTCCTTGGATGAGAAGTCTGCTCGGAATTCTACGAAAGGGATATTCTAGGAGCAGATTCTTCGCTACGGTTTAGAAGAAGTAGTAATACACGTGCCTCGGAAGGCCCACTGCAAATTAAATCTGTCGCCTGAAGAGCGAGGTTGAAGCCACATTACCAGCCACTATTGGAAGTGCCTCGATCGTGCCTTTTGTGTGGCGCATTTCGGTCCCAAACCAATCGCTCATCAAGCACCATGACGAGGCTCATTTCTGTGGCGAATATCAGCGTCGAAGTGGATTAAATCATAATCACTCGCTGAAAAACGGCTGGTGTTGTCGATCTCGACGGTTTTGAGAAGCTCGATGTTCCGCAACAACATGTGCGCAGCCACTCACGGACCTAGACAGGTGTCAACCCACAATTCAGGGTCCTGTTCCAGAAGGAATTGGCGGAGTTGAACAACGATCAGGGAGATTGATGTCAGATTCCGTGGCGCAGATTGGAGGACGACCCTGCAGCATGTCGATCAGATAGGAATGACATACAAGGGTCCGACGTGGTGGTGTCCTGGAGCACAAGGGTCAGCTGAATCCTTCGCCCCGATGCTGCAGTCAATAAGGCTGACTGTCCATGGTGATCCCTCATTGAATACCTATCTCATTCCCTAATTTCACTGCAAACTTTTGTCAAGGCTTACTTCTTGACAGCTCGATTGAGTTTTGTCGTTGCCTTGCGGCGGCTCCATTGGACATTCACCGCTTCGACTGTGATTCGGTCGGCCAAATCCGCAGAGCCAGGGCCTTGTGGCACATGACTTCTAAGCCATCTCACGAGCCAGATGCACTGCATTTTGAATATGCAGTGGTCTTACCAAGGCAACATACATTTCCGTGTCACCTGGAGGGCTCTCAGTTTGAATGATACTGGTGATGTGGGCTGCCGAAGGGGTGCAGTGGCGAAAGAGAGCCAAGCCCGTTCCTCCGTATGCTGTCAAAATGAAAGGTTGAAAGGTAGTAGTCGTTTATCCACCATTGAAATTCAATATCGATTGCATTGCTTAACCTCCGGCTAGTTGGCCAGATCAAGCGGCCATGTGCCCTAATGGATCTCGACTGCATTACGTTTGATGATCCATACTTCAGGCACCGAAGTAAAGCTCATCAACCACCAATCGGGGCCCTCCTCATTTCCATGAAGGGATATTTGTAGCCATTTGACTCTCAAGCTTTGCTGAGGGCATCCACCACGGAGTCTATGCCGCCTCTGCCACAATCTCTCTTTACCATATCATTGGCTGTTTGAAGAGATTCTGCCCATGATCCAAAGATCCCAAATTTGTGAAAGAGCGCTTCGGTCTTCGCCAGGGAACTCAACCCGAACTGGACTGACAGCTCCCGGGCGCATGCGAAGGCTCATTATCAAACACTAGTGGCTACTCCAAGTCCAGGTTTGAGGCCACCGTTTATGCCACATCATACTCACTTAGAACCTAGGTTCTTGCCAGCCTGGCATCCATATTCCAAGCCATCTTGTCTCAAATCAATCACGCCAGTAGGGACCAAACTACCTCAAGCTACACTACATAAGCCTTGAGAATACACCCATCGCGGAGATCAGAAATAGACTAGGCCTAGCGAAGCTCGCATACGCACTACAGCCCGCGCAGCCTTCGCTCTTAGGTATCTGAGTACTCGTTCCAGCGATCTTAGCCTTTAAGTTCGTACATAAATCGGTTCTTGCTGGCTGACAGACTTGATGCCATCAGAATCCATCTACGATATGGCTTTCCCCGCAGGACTACCACTCAGAAAGCTGGACCATAACTTCAACAATGGCGAAGGAAGTGTTTTGTCTTTTGATCAAATGCGGACCCTCACCATGGCAAATCCTCTTTGGCGAGAATTTATCAACAATCGTATAGCCCTCGAGCGCCGCTATGGACAGCTTCTACATTTGTACGAAGAAATGTTTTCGTGAGTTCGAACTCGTCAAGGAATTCACATTGCTCTGACGTGAATGATTACAGAAACTATTTTGGTGGCTACATGCCAATTCACTACGGAACATCAACCAACAGCACCGTGAATCCCGAAACTGTAGTCAAAATCATTCTGACGCTTGCAGAACTTTCAATGTCTGAATCTTCAGAGTCATCTGAGAGCCCGTTTTCGGATGAAGAAGATGCGCTGAAGAGGATGGGTTGGGACGATTTACACGCGAAGAAGCCTTGCTGGGGTCTTTTATCTGATACATACGCCGCAGCAACAGTTTCTTCCACCAGCATATCAGGAGTAATAGCCTCTTCAACTCCACTTCAACTCCACCTGCTCCTTTATTAACATTTTTGCCAAGCAGAAGCCTTCACTCAAACTTTCAGGTTCTCCAAAGCCTTACGGGAGCAACCCTATTCTGCTCCACATCGATGGTGTCTCTGATGACGAACTCAGAGATCAACTCTTCGTCGCCAGAGAGGCAGGCTGCATTGGCATTATTGTTGAAATGGTAGAGACTCAGTTCAACGGGAGAGTCTTGGAAACCAGTCTTCTCAAACGACTGAGCGCCATGTGTGCGGAGCACCAATTTCTATTAGCAGTAGACGAGACTCTGACTGCCATACGTTGTGGTGCCCCTTTTTGTTTTCAACGGGAGGAATTCTTTGATATCATATCCCCTGATCTCGTCTTTTTCGGCAAGGCTACAGGATCTCAGGGAGTTGCTATCAACTTTGACGGGCAATTCGTCAAAAGATTTGGGCTCTCGGGCAGTTCACGTGGCCGCGCTGTTCGCAAGTGGCAAGACAACTTCCAGAAGCCACTGCCGACTGCAAACCTCATTCAGGCTATGGCTACAATTGAAATTGCAGTTCAAGGGAACTTTGTGATGCTGAGTAGAATCATCGGACAGGCTATTCGGGAATTCATTCTCGAACAGGCGGTGGAACGAGGTCATGAGGTGACTGCTCAGGATGTACTTGGAGGCTTGGAGAGTCTAATTTTTGTAAGAAAGGATATAGCTGGCGAGATGCTGGTCATGAGCGCAAACACGGCTGGTTCCTGGATACCTTGGGTGAAGTGGCTACCCAGGCTTGAAAAGGATTTGACGAGAAGCGAGGTACTCGAAGAGGTCATTGGCAGAAAGAGCCGATTAGCTCGCGAGGAGCTCTCGAATATGCTGGTGAAGCGAGGGTCTAAGCCGACTTGGTGTTTCTGGTGTGGAAACCGAACCACAGCGAAGAAAGACGACTGGTGTCGGAGGTGTTGCATTGGTATATGTGAGGGGGACGTTTGTGGGCGACATCTCTTCCGGCATGAGTGTGTTTAAAGCCATGTGTCTCTTACTTTTGTGAGCAACAAGGGAGGTGATCCAAAAGGCGATGGGGTTTTCACTCAGCGAGACCAATTAGTTACTTTAGTTAGTTCTAGGTTTCGTCAGGACTATATTACAACAAACGAGGAGAAGGGATGTAATAAAATGGAAATGGGATCAAGATGTTGTGACTACCAAAAACACATGGTAGGTAGCTTAACGGTGTTATGTAAGCAGTATGAACTCCGATCCAACCCATTTCCGATTAGCGAATTATTCACAATGACGTATGATCTGCCTGAGGGCGTGTCGCATGACCTCGAAGTCGATTGCGGGGTTGATTTGGCAGAGTCGACTACATGTAGACACCGGCTCTCAAGTTGTGTGAAGAATTTCAGTAATTATTAGTCTGTCATCACGTAGTGTTGCATCAAACTCTATTCTTCGGCATTACTACGATGCCTTATTCAGACGAACTTCCCCAAACAAGAACCCCTCTGCTCGGCAATAGTGGCCAGTCAGAGGCAGCAGCTAGAATAGTGCGTCTCCATGATCTAGATTCGCTTCTATGGAGTCCTATGCTTTTGGAGGATAGCGTGGATGTACACGTAGATTGCCATTGAGCTAATGGCGAAAAAAGCGATCGACTTCATGCAGCGTCAAGAAAAAGAGTAGCAACGCCGTGTCTTTCATCGTCCACGTCTTCCGCGGCGGTCTCTTCTCACCACCGACCCTGACATACGACCCTTTACTCCTCTTGCTGAATCACGATGACCAGGACGAAAGAAATAGGCTCACGGAGAAATGGAAGGACAACAAGCTACAAGAACTGAACTTCGTAGGCGTCGTGGTGAGTTGAGTACCGCAAATGTTATTTTGCAGCCCTGTTTTTGTTTTGCATTACGAAGATCTCACTGCTAAATTGAGACATGAACTAGGCTGCCTTACTCGCGAATGTCCTCACATCTACCGGATCGTGGCCCAACCTCTTGCCGCCTGAGACAACTACGCCTTGGCCCGTGCGGACCTGCTGGTTTTGCGGAATCGCGTTCGCGCTTGCCAGCGTCTTAACGGCGGCGGACCAAACCATTCGACTGCATAGAATGGCTGGACACCGAGATGGTCTGGTACTTATTCGGCAGTCACTGCGTACCCAGGAGCGCGTCTTGGTCGGCACTGAGTGGAAGTATCGCCCTCGGAAATTGCAGGTCTACGCCTGGCAGTTGTCGGTTGTGTTCCTTGCAGGCGCGGTATTCTGCATGATCTCAGGGATGATATTCCTGGTCTGGAGTGCTGTGGCTGAAGACATTGGCAGAGGAAAAGGGTTTGATGACAACGGCAAGGTGAGAAACATCAAATCCTCCATATTTCTGGGCTGTGATTAACAGTCGTCAGGTGGCTGTGATATTCACATCATTTGCACTGATCACGGCTGTCATCTTCGGACTTGGTCAGACAGCGCTTTACTACCCGGTTCCAAAGGGGGGCGACATTGAAGATAGTGACTAAGACATGGAGAGGGTATCTGCTTTGAAACCTCATTGAAAGTCACTCAAGATGGAATCCAATCAAGTGCGTCGGTGACATCAAGGTCAGGCCATCGAATATTGGTTGGTGATTGATGTGACTGGAGGTTAATGAGGTTGGAGTCTTGTGTCATGAACTTATTTGATATCAATGTGATTATTTGAAAGTGAAATGATGACCACGAGCTATTTTCATAAGCAAGTACTTCACAACCCTGCTCAAGCCTCGCTATGAGATGCAAAATGGCCGTGATGTAAAGTCTAGTAGATTTGTTGCCTACTAGCTAGATGAAGAGGCACTTTCCTTCGGTTTTTGACCTGCAACAGAGTGGTAGAACACATAAGAGTGGATACCAGCATTCATGAGATCTTTCCGTACATCGATTAAGAAGATGTCGACTTCCGGGGCAGACCACCCTAGACCTCGTGTAAGTGGGCCAACTGTGACCCCATGTATGCCGTCGTAGAGAACAGCTTTGCAGTATGCTCCAATCATTTTCAGGTCTTCTCTCTTTGGCCACTCGCCTACGGGAACCTTCTGAACATCCTCGACTTTCTTGACAAAGCCCGCGTCGTCGAGGCGTTTTGGGTTGACGTCGGCAACATCTGCCTCGATACCGAATTTTCCAAGACCTTCACAAACAAACTTCATCATCTTCGTAAGAGTATAGTCTGGTGGCATGGTGTCATCGTCACAATTGAAGTTCCACTTCATCTCCTGGAGCTCAATCCAGCCTCTTGGTTTCAAGGTGCTACAGAACGTCAGTTACCATCGGAGTGAGAATGTGAGAATTAATGGACCTACCGGAAAGCTTGTGCAAGCAACTTCTCCCAGTCTTTGATCGCAGCTCCCATGTTCCGCACGTGAACGTAATCAAGGGAGTTTTCTGGGTACAACCATTCTGCTTCGGCATCGTCAACGATGAAAGCAACATTGATTGGCTGGGACGTATGGAGGTTGAATAGAGCTCAGATAAATGCCAGTAACCTCAGCTTCCGGATACTCGTCGCCCACTATGGTCATTAGTCTCTTTCCCCGGGTTTTCCAGCCAGCTACCTCGAACGGGTTAACGCACTGTCAATTGCCCAGATATCAGTCCCGGTACCAACATCGAGGATATGTTGAGGATTCTCGAGAGGCGCACTGTGCAGTGCCCTGCCGCAAAGCGTGATCACCATGGAGTGCTTCATATCCTCCCGTTCTTGCTCAGCATCATCGTTGGGAAAGGCATACCGGCCTTCTTTGAACTTATGGTATCTCCTTTTGTTTTCAAAGTTGAAGTCACGAATGGTGGATGCCAGCGTAGTTGAGGCATTAGACTCTCTTTCAGATGCGGATTGGTAATCGTCACCATCATCATCTGTCTCGTCTTGGGCTTCAACGACTGGATCTGGCGACTGAGTAGCTGCTTCCGGTGCCACCCCTAAGATGCAGTCGCGATAGATCGACTTGAGCCCGAGGGCGCAACTGCTGAGACTGCAGCCTGAGGCGACTTTGCGGGGGCGGCTAGTGTAATCGTCGTAGTTGCTGCATCTACCGCTTGCAAAGAGGATGTTGGAGGAGAATTTGAAACAGCCTGTTTCTCAGCCATTGTACTGTATGTGTGAAAATACATCCTTCTAAAATGAAAAAAAGGTTTGCCAAAGACACTTCCAAGTATTTTTTTCAAAGCCTGAAATCTTAGATTGAAGGAGATGAGGAGAAGAGGGTACGAATATGAAGAAGAGGGCACGAATATGAAGAGGAAGGAACAAGATAAAGCGTCACGGCATGTCTCCGACCATGTTGTTTCCCCGCTCGGACTTGACGAGATATCCAGACGCAGACAGTTTGCAGGGATTAGAATCCTGATCTGCCATATCTCCGGGTTGATGTCGAATGATGATTGAGATTCCTGGATAATGCATTTGCTCATTCGACTGGGCATCTGCAAGGGTAACAAGAATGACGCGGGAGGGGCGTGCCTTCACTTGTCCGTGGTCGTGCCGAGATGGTCGGGAATCAAAAGGAACGTAACGATGCAAACGACCCAGCAGACGACCGTACGGTCTCGTACAAGACACCGAAGTTTTGTTGCCTTAGCAATGAAGAGGGTATGTGTCCTCTTCGCATTCGATCCTTAACGCATTCACGAAGTTGAAGTTGCCAAACACCATAGCTTAGCGCTTGTGTAATATTGCGATCGACTCAATGCATTTTTCAAGCTCAAGTTCTGAGGGTTAGACTCTTTTGGCAAAGATAGGTTGCGTAGACACTAGCCATAGGGACACCCTTTATACTAGATCAAGCTTGCCAGCTTAGCTAACGGACTCAATACACTCAACTCCTCCTTTAAATTCTTTCTTTCACGGCTATCTTTCAGATGCCTCTTCTAGAGATATATGTAGCAGAAAGGACTGCCTCCTAGTGTATTGAGCAAATCACTGATAGGCCTGTTGGGTGCATTTGGTTCCTGGATTACTAGATCGTCAAGGCGTGCGTCGCGGCTGGGAGGAGTGTTTAGAATCGTGATTGTTCCGGCAATGTTGAAAGCCTCCCCAAGATGAAGCGCCTGCCATAGCCAGTAGATTCGGTCGACCATCGCGTGGTGCAGAAAGAAGGTCGGGTCATTGGTGGACGAGAACAGGTCGGAAGCCTCACCGTTGACAATGAAGTGTCCGGACGTGTGGGTGCCTGCTTGCTGTTAGATACTTTATCGCTTCGATTAACTTGGAGAAGCCTTACCCAGAAATCCATCACCAAAGCGGCCCTGAAGTTCGTTCTGGAAGGTCAAGACATTTTCTGCTGCAGCACCCACAGTGAGATTCAGCACATTCTCAGGAGTCATCCAATGCTGTGACGTCCAAGCGCTGATGTCTCTGGATAGACAACGGGGATTATAGGCAAGAGGGCCGCCAGGGTTGACAGCGAGGCCATCGATACCAGGTGAGACAGGGCCAAGATGAACGGTCATGCTTGACAAAGTAGTCAGTAATGGGTCCTTTTTCTATTGGGCCAAAATCAGACTTACTTGGCGAAGGGACCGCTTGTGACACAGCCACCTCCTTCTCCAGAGGGGATATAAACACCACCACCCGACGTGCTGCCGTTGTGATATTTGTAGGCACCATTGCCACTCAAGCTGGTCTCACTGCCATCAAACATGGGCGCCTTAGAAGGATCGTCTCGGTATGAAAGCCAGTTCCAGTACTAATGAAAACGTCAATGTCGTCAGTCACTGCAGATTCAATTGCGTTCCAATGCTATCTACTAGATACTTACCGGCTGATACCCGTTGTAACCACATTCCTGCCTCAGAGCATTCTCGTAAGCCCACGTGAAGTAACGATGCCACGTGAGGAAGTTGCCGGTTCCGTGGATGCTCAAGGTCTGGTTAATATGAACGGCAACGAAGTCGTCATAGCGGCTGCGAGCGCCAGCGGCAAAATCGGTAAGCTTGGAAGGCTTCGTCAATAGACAGTTGACGGCGCTGGTGTAAGCTTTCTTTTCGGACCCAGAGAGCGAGTTCCTGTGGATGTTATGAGCAAAAACAAGTCGGTCCTAATTCGGCGATCACGCACCAGTCTCTTCGAACACGCGCGTTGAAGAGATTGCATGAGTCCCTCTTGCCAAAAGTACCGTTTCCCTCCGCCGCTTGAAGAGCCTCGATAGCCTGGGCCTGAACATCCGAAAGCTCGTCGCCGCCAGAGGCGAGAGCAGTCGCTCCAGACAGACTCAGCGCCGCGAATAGGTTAAGGAAGCGCATTGCGATGCCGTCGGCGGATTTCCTGGCGCGGGTTGACCTGGGGGCCGAAGTTCGTGAGATGAATAGCACTGAGGTGGCAGAGGGGAACGGGTCAGCGCGACAATTGCAGCGGCAATTATCATTTATCTTCATTCCCAAGGCCGACGGGCAACCGTCTGTCATCCATATCAAAATAGCGCCGGCGCTGTGGGATGACAACGGCACGCTTCCGATTGCAGTTCCGAGAACTTCCAAAGAGGCACATCGGCCGGGAGGCGAAAAAGTCGACAGGCTTCATGCCCAGGCAGTCTTAATTAAGTGGTGGATGCGTTGACTCTAACATTAAGAAGCGTCTTTAACCCTGACCATGTCCGCATGGTGGATAAATTGTTGGTTGGCTGTTGTGGACCTTATCCGAGGTCGTGACATGCTGAAGTTCAAATGAGTCGGCGTGGATCGAACTAGAACCTAGACATGCTGGTAACAGCGTTACATTGCCGGTCAGCGCTAATGACAGCAGGTAAGCGACAATGTCCACTAACTTAGAATAGTATCGGCTGAATCGTGAACGACCCCTTCCCCTCCCCTTCTCAGAAAACCATCCTCAGATTTGTTTTCCAGAAAGTCTATTGTTCAAGTTTCAGACCAATGTTGTTGCCGTGCTTTCGTCATGCATCTCCTCCGGTGCTCCGGGGTTTTCAAGTGGGGCCCCGGCAACGGGACCGGCTCGGACAAGTTTCTGCTTCGGGTGTATACGATGACCCAACGACCTTGGCATCCCACCACGGTGCGTTCCACCCTTGTCCATCTCATGCCGTAACCATGGTTAGATCCGCTGTTTGAGAGCCGACTTAACCGACATCATTGAGGAGGTGCCGCAGCCGGAAAAGGTTTGAGGACTACGTTGGCAAGTAAATACTTTAGGAATGTTGCACTGGGCTAGTGTTGCCCACTACATTACGTTCAAGTTCAGCTCGGAGGAATAATTTCATTGACGTTGAACAGCCAGAATCAAGCAATCATCGGGAAATGACCGGGAAAATTCCATGGAGAAGGTTGTTCCAAGTCATGCCGACGTTTGATAGATCATACGTAAACTTACTGCTACTTCCATGTCTTCCCTGCAGTTGTCAAAGGTTCGACGGCATGCACGAACGTCATAGACACAGTCTCGAATGCCCTCAGTCTCAGGATTACTGAATGTAGCTGACCTCCGTACTTTTATCATTTTCATTCACACGTAACGTGCAAATAGAAGACGAGCGCAGTTCCCTGTCTCTTTTGTCTGGAGGCTCCATTGCATTGCCTGATATTTTCTGTCTCTGTAGATTTTACTGAGTAAAGTATGACATCCAACGCGATGTAAGAATTGAACATGTGGCAGAGGCCATGTTTGAGAGTTGCCCAAGGAGCCAAGGTAAGAGAATGTATTGCGAATACGGCCGGCGTCTTGCATAATATAAGGTAGGCGTACGCTACAAAACGTCAATGAAATGACATATAACTATTGTGATTAAAGAGATCAGATATATGTAGTATGAGGGCACTTGGAGCATGTGAGATATAAATAATTGCAGACATAGATGTACTTTGTGATTTTCAAAAGCTCGAGGCTTACGTTCAACTTTTGTGCATTTATGATGTTTAAGGCTTTAACGCCTTGGTACCCTTGGCTTTGTCCCCCTTTTTTCTCGACGGGCAGAACTCATTTGTCCGTGCAAGCGTCTCTGATACACAGATATTGTGCATTCATTGCCAGACACGATGGCCATCCGATTTTGTAACACATGAAATCATCGCATATTTCCACATATTGCTTAAGAATGCTGTGCCGTATAAGTTAGAGGGACATCAGAAGGTGTTTGTGAGGCAATATCGTTGGCGATCTGTGAGATGATGGCTGAAGTGATGGGGGTATCGCTTGGAACCCAGCCGAGTAACACTGGTAGTTTCTCGTTTCCTATTCTGTTTTAGCACCTGGGCGATGAATCTAGGTTCTCACTTTTGAGAGGATAACCAAGTCTTACTGAAGAAATATTCGAGGAACAACCTATTGGCCACTGGCTTATTTGGAGAGCCCCAGACAGCCAACATCAGGGCTGACTCGCCAAGGAATAAGGGTGCGGATGACTCAGGAAGAGTGAACGTCGGGTTCATCTTACTCATGACCAGAGCGTGTCTTGCTCTGGCATTGGCCATGTCGGTAGTGTTGATCATCGTTCCATCCCCGAAGTAGGCAACGAAAGCGTCAAAGGTCCCCTTATCGAAACGGTTGGATGGGTCAACGTACATGTCTCGACGTGATAAGCTGCCATCGTGTTCGATAACGTTGTGCTTGTTCAGCATGTCTAGGTCGATATACTGGATTACACAAAATTTCAGTAAAAGGTTCACCAAGTGCATGGTAACGACCAATGATTCTCGCCGAGGCTTAGAAAGAACATCTTCAGCAAAGGTATGTCGTCTCACATTTGCATTGGGTATTGAGTTCAGCTTCAAAGCTGGTGTGAAGGCAGCCGTGGCTAGTGCTTCTTCAATATTCATCGCATCTTTGAGGCCTTTTATGACAATATCAAGAGTAATATTTCGACCATCGTGAGGCAGAAAGCCGTGGTTGGCGAGAGTGTTTAACGTCGGACAGGGTGCGCGCACTGGGTAACTTCAATGTCAGCAGGGAAGACTTATGGCAGACTAGTTCAAGTTTAACTCACAGTCTCCAGGACCCGGTGGTGTCCAGGTAAAATGGTTTGGCTTGAGCCGGCATGCTGCATCATATCCCGGCGTTGACGTTGATAGCGGTGACATCGACTGGAACGGACACCCACTGGCGACGCCCGGGAAAGTAGGAAGTGCAAATGCAACGGGCAGTGAGCCCAGGACCATCAGATTAATCTGTATCTCTGGCAACTTCTTAGTTACCCCCAGAGATTTGTCGGGGACACAAAGACACTACCCGAGTGAACGAGTGAAGGAAATGTTTAATACAGGTGTGCGTAAAGTCTCGATAGATCAACGGTTGGAGCAACAAATTCAGGCCGTTAAGAAAAATCCCTTCTTTGCAAGTTCTCGACGGTTCAGGATGTTTAATATACCAGCAGCAGCTGGATAGCGAAGACCTTCCGCCCTTTCCGTTCATTCTGGCAATGATGAAAACCCAATCTTAGTCGAGAGTCCGTTGCAACGGCTCTCTTCCGGTGCCCTTGTTCAAATGTCGATCTTCAACGTTAGTCCATTTTGTGGCTTGAACCCCTGGTTTCTATGGACTCTTACATGAACTATTTTCCCGGATCCTCCACGAGCCGCATTTCACGACTAGCTTAGCGGCTCCTCAAGTTCCCGAGGTCATAGCTTCTTGCAGATGAAAGCTTGCAAGCTCATCGTTGATCTCGCAGGTTTTTGTAATTATTCCATCCGGCTCTTTGTTCTCATTTCCCGGTTAGTCAGTCCTCGACCGTTCACGTTGCCCTTGAGTCAACAGTGCCGGGCAGTCCTCAAGTCATGACAAAGCAGCCGCCAAGATCAGGGGACGGTAAGCTTGGCGCATTGATCTCCAACTCAATCTGAATGGTGCCACCTTGAAAAACTCAACCTTATTTTCGTAGGCCTTGAGATCAACCGCATCGGGAATTTTTTCGATTCAAGTTCAAGGTTACAGTAGCTTACCTGCCACATCAAACTCAATTTGTATTTCTCCATAAGCCCTCTGTGCTGTGTTCGAGTGCTACGAACAAGTCGCCGTCATATGGTCTTGTCAAACGTGATGGTCTACATGTAATACTCAGACGGGGCAGTTAGCAATTTGAAAGAGGCAAAAAAAGACATCGCGTTGACGGTTGATGTAAGTCAGACATAAACGTTAATTCACGTGATGCTGATGGCGTGTTGCATTGACACTTTCCTTAATATCAGATGGCAGATGGCCCCAAGACTTTGGAAACACGAACCGATGGCCACTGCCAACCATTTCCTAATTGTTCACTTTTTGTGCCTTGACAAACCGCCTTTATCCATGCAGCTGTTTCTACGAGGTTGACTAATCGAGAGAAATCCATGCACTCCTCGACTGTAGTCGTGGCCTGGATGGGGACTTGTGCATCAATACTGGCTTCTTTCCAAAGGTTCAGCCACGAGGTCACATATGCCAACCAGTAGTCAAACTTCTCACGACGGGCGAAAGCGGGCTTTCATGACCTTCGATGACTTACTGTACGAGGAATGAATCATGGAAAATTGTGGCTGGAACTTTGTGTTATTGTCATTGGCGCACCGGCGGCTCAACCTTATTGGGTTGCAATGCCAAGAAGTTCCACGGCGTAACCGAGCTGCGCAATCGCATTGGCGCGTACGGCCGTTCCTGTATCGGGCAGGTCGCGATACAGTCGCAATGGAGCAGAAGAAAATATTGGCTCTGGGCTTCCTCATTAAGTCCCTCGTCCCCGCGTTTCTGGAGAGTCTAGTACGCGTCGAGGTTAATTGACAGTGGCGCTGGTCGGTGAGCTACCAGCAACATCACCAGCTTCCTTATCTATCGCCTTGGCGGTGATCACGCGAGCGGAGAGATGCATGTGTCGCTTCCAGCTCCGTGGTTCAGGGAAGTCTAAAAAGCCATCGAGCCGCTGCTTTCCGGCCAGCTTATTTGGATCACCTCCTCGCTCGCTGGCTCACCGACTAGGTTCTCGTCTTCAGCCAACACACGACGGTCTTCTGCCACCTACAATCTTGTTCAAGGCCTAACTCGTGTAGCAACAGCCCACAAGATGAGGACGACCGCTCTCACATTGGCCCTGCCGGCGCTGACCAGCGCTGTCAAGTGCAAGCCCTACGTCGAGTCCGAGAAGCTCCAGGAGCTCATCAACATCGAAGACCTCCTGGCCGGCTCTCAGAAGCTCCAGGACATTGCGGACGCCCACGAGGGAAACCGCGCCTTCGGTGGTGGTGGTCACAATGCGACTGTAGACTGGCTAGTCGAGGAGCTCGAGAAGCTCGACTACTACGACGTCTACAAGCAGCCCTTCACCGAGGCATTCGCCGGCGCCAAGGCGACTCTCACCGTCGCAGGTGATGCCATTGACGCCCGCCCTCTGACATACACACCTGGCGGGTCCCTGACCGGCGCTACCTTGGTTAACGTCGCCAACCTTGGGTGTGAGGCGTCCGACTACCCCGTCGAAGTCTCTGGTGCTGTTGCGCTCGTGTCGAGAGGCACCTGCAACTTTGCGGTGAAGGCCACCCTCGCCAAGGCTGCCGGCGCTGTTGGAGCTATCATCTACAACAACGATGTCGGCGCGCTTTCCGGTACCCTGGGCGCGGCATCAGATGGTTATGCCCCGACCGTGGGCATTACCCGTGAGGAGGGACAGGCTCTCGTTGCTTCCCTTGCAGCTGGCCAGGAGCTCACTCTCGATCTCAATGTCATTTCCATCATTGAGAACCGTGTCAACTACAACGTCATTGCTGAGACGAGGGGCGGAGACCATGACAATGTCCTGATGATTGGAGGCCACTCCGATTCCGTTTTCGCCGGCCCTGGCATCAAGTAAGTCAACATCACCCTCCAATCCGATCACAGAAAGGAACTAACCGAACTTCTCTTCCAGCGACGATGGTTCCGGTACCGTTGGTGTTCTCACCGTGGCCAAGGCCCTCACCGAGTTCACTACCAAGAACGCCGTTCGACTTGGATTCTGGGGTGCGGAGGAGTACGGCAAGCTCGGCTCCTACTTCTACGTCAAGTCTCTCAACAGCTCCGAGGAGGAAATCTCAAAGATCCGCGCATACCTCAACTTCGACATGATCGCCAGCCCCAACCCCAAGCTCGCCATCTACGACGGTGACGGTAGTGCCTTCAACTTCACTGGCCCCGCCGGCTCCGACGTCATTGAGAAGGACTTTGAGGAGTTCTTCGAGTCCAAGGGCCTGGGCCACGTTCCTACCGAATTCAACGGTCGCTCTGATTACGCCGGGTTCATCGAGAACGGTATCCCGTCTGGCGGATTGTTCACTGGTGCCGAGGGTCTCAAGACGGAGGCCGAGGCCGCGCTGTTCGGTGGCGAGGTTGGTGTTGCCTACGACGTCAACTACCATTTGATCGGGGACGACATTACCAACCTGGACAACGATGCTTACCTTGTCAACACCAAGGCTATTGCTCACAGTGTCGCAAAGTACGCCATGAGCTGGGAAACTCTTCCTGCTGTTGAGTTGAAGAAGCGCAGGTGGGCTGCAGACACGGCCCAGCACCTCAAGCGTGCTGCTGAATTGACCGGTCACTCCCATGACGGACCTTGCGGTGGCGGCTCACACTTCTAAGGGTGATGCATCCGACCGACTGAATCCCATTAAGGGCACCACTCAATCCGTGGGTGTTTGGTTCATCCTCGGAGTAAAAATAGACGAGAAATGAATGGATGACAGACTTGATGTTATTTCCCCTCTCGATGCGTGACTAAATGCAGTGTGATACTTTTACAGGCTTGACAGGATCCTAGTAAACCGAATCCTTCGCCTGTCAGCATCGAACGACACTTTGGAAGCCGTAATCGTCGATTAGGCACTCCCTCCGACCAATGGGAACACCCAGACTTCCTAGTCTTTTCGTAAACTAAGTAACAAACGGTACTTTTGCACAACCAACTCTTTATCACCTATTGACATAGAATGATTCAAGGTGTGGCAGACACAGACAACTGTGGCAGGCCAAGATGTCGTAGCCTTCATCAACATGTCGGAGGGTGCCTTCAACGTTGGCGACAATACATGGACAATCTAACCTCATGCGTATCTCGGCTATAGCACAAAGTCATGTGGGCACCACTTTCGAACTGTTGGAACTTGTCATGCAGCTGTCCAGCAGCCCACACAGGGTTCTCCTCTACTCAGTGTGCCCCATCTTGTCAGGCAACAACTTACTGTCTCCAAAACGAGATAGCCTTGTTCAATCAGCCCAAGACGTGACTGCATCATCGTGATCTTACTAACGGAGGCGAAGCAGTGTGGCACAGACTTGCCCGAGGTCTAGGCAAGGAGCAATTGAGAATAAGACCGCACCGGATAAGTAGACTTATCACATTCCTACACCAATCACGCCCTCCGAATGGGCAACATCCTTCAGCGTCGCTACGGCCGTTCCTACGGCCGCAAGTCAGCCGCCCCCCTTGTTTCCTGTTGGGGGCCGTTTCTCCCCAAGAAACCCTAGAAACACCGTTGGTTGACCCCTGGAACGGGCGCGAACCCTGGTTTTCCAGGACCCCCAAAGAAGATTAAGGTCCTTTCCGCTGACAAGGGATTGGAACACCAGGCAGGCTCGCACTCCGTCTTCTTCGCCGGGCATCTCCGGCCGATGATGGCGAGGCCAAATCCTTCAGTATTGGCAGCACTGCAACAAGCTGTAGGGCGACCTATGAGGCTCGGGCTTGGCACCTAGTCGGGCACCGGTCACCACAGACTTGAACAGGGTGCGGCGAACACAACCGCTTCCGCGATCACACCAGGCAGCTTCGTGGGGGCCGAGTCTGAATCTTGTTTCCACTTTAGTTTAGGCAACCCTTCAGTTTCTCACGAGGAACCGGATCAAGACCAGTCGCACTGCATGTCTCAACTTGTGAGATCATGGAAACTTGCATAGGGCTGCAGCGGCTGTGTCGTATTGCTATCCGGACTGGGAGGGGCCGGTGGCCGTGTATCTTCGTACTTGGTGTCTGTGCCTCCTACGCCTCAACTTTGAGTGTCTTTGTTCTGGTATGAGTTCCGAGAGAAAGCTGTTTAGTCGTCTATTTATACGGGTGGCTCTCGTTTCTTTGTTTCATTGTACTCTACCTTCATGAGCTTCAATCGACTAGCAATTGATATTCTGGTCAATCATCTTGCCTAAGTGTCTTTATCGCGCCTTGTCTATCTCATTCATACTGCATCCTGCATAGCGAGCTTTGCTACCCTCACCAAGCATAATTTGCTGAAATCCTTAATCAAAATGAAACAAGACACCATCCTGCCGAGCCATGGGCCTATTCCCAATGCTCGTCCTGTCCGGCGCCCAGCTGGACGTATCCTCATAGTTGCTCTCTATGCCAGCATCTTAGTTTTGTCTTTCCTTAAAGGCGAAACCATTTTGTCAGCAGTAAGTGCCATGTAGCCCTTCCCAAGACCTCTGGACTTGCATTATCCCTCCAGTTTAGCAACTTCATGGCGCTGACTTTACACCAGATCACAGAAAAAGGCAGGAGCTGTGAACGTCAAGCTCACGGAGCAACCAATATCGCTACACTCCGAATCCGAGACGTCAGTCCCCCGCAGGAAGACACGGCTATCTCTACAGATGGGCGCTCTGGGTATAACCGTCGTAACGAAGAGCCCACTGTTGGTACCGATGGACGTTCCGGATATAATCGCCGCAGTGAAGACTTAGTCGTGACCACAGATGGTAGATCCGGATACAACAAGCGCGAAGAAGAGACCGCTATCAAGACCGATGGCCGCTCTGGGTATAACCGACGCAACGGCAAGGAGACGTCAGATGTTACCACTGATGGTCGTTCTGGTTACAACCGCCGCGAACAGGCTACTGATGCGACTTCCGACGGACGGTCCGGATATAACAGACGTGGAGAGGAGCTGACATCTACTACTGATGGGCGCTCCGGATATAATAAGCGTGAGCAAGTCTCTGCTATTACAACTGATGGGCGCTCGGGGTACAACCGTCGCCAAGAAGTCTCAGACGCCACCGCCGATGGACGGTCTGGATACAACAAGCGCGAAGAGGTAGTTGACGCTACAACTGATGGTCGATCTGGTTACAACCGTCGTGAAGAGACGGACGGCCGCTCAGGATACAACAGCGTGGAAGATGGTCGTTCTGGCTATAACCGTCGCGAAGGGACCTCAGACGTCACCACTGATGGACGGTCAGGATACAACAAGCGAGAGGAAGAGGACGGTCGCTCTGGTTATAACGGAGTGGAAGAAAGAGCTTCCGGTATCGCCCGTCGCGAGGAAGTCGCTGACGCCACCACTGATGGGCGATCTGGATATAACAAGCGGGAGGAATCCTCGGCCGTTGGTACCGATGGGCGCTCAGGTTACAACAAGCGCGGTAAGGCCACTGATATCAATACTGACGGTCGTTCTGGCTACAATCGCGCAATTTGAAATTTGGAAGAAATGGCGTACCGCAACGCGCGAGGGGCCCAAATTTAGATACAACGAGCTCAGGCTCTAGCATCAACTTTCACTAGCTGCTTAGACTTAGACTGGTAGCAGACTTGACGTAATTTACTTCATTTCTTAACAAGAATTCTTCTGTTCGAAACTTTGCGTGATACACTGCTCGTCCTACAGCTGTTTGCTCAAGCTCAGTCGTACGGGTAACCTCATGACTTGAAAGCCACAGGCCGAACGCTCCACGCTGTTGACAAGGTGGGGAAATAGATCATTTGGACTTGTGGTGTAACACGGCCGGACTCCCCCATCTGCCATACCTGAGTACACGGAATAGGTACTGTCAAACCCAACGGACCGTATATGACATGACTGAAAGATTCTCTCATAGATCCTTCTGTCCACTGAATTATCCGCCCCCATCAGAGACCAGGAGCGCCAAAATACGCCAAGAACACCTAATGGGATTTCTTTCATCCCAAGTCACGCAGCCACTCTTGGCCAAGGGACGCGCCCGCAAAGTCACCGAAGGAGAATGGATCAAACCAAGTAGGATGGAAGCCACATCATACCGCCAGCGTTGGATCCTCTCTGAGTCCCTGTGGATGTTACTGTTTTCATTCCGAACAAGCTGGCGTGTAACCAATCTGCCATGAGCAAAGCCTGCAGTCCCCTCACGTTCATCACCCAAACCGACCCTTCTGCCACCAGCTCCCCTGAACCTCCTCACCGGCCTTGACCTCTGTGACTGTACTTTTGGCCTTCCTCAGTGGGTCAACCTGGTTCGCGATGAATTCGTCCATGTATCGCCCGCCCGCCCCTCCTCCTTGATTTACATTCTCTTGCCGAAGACTCGCTTCGCTGCCGACCCGCGACCGCCGATCCGGCTCCATCTCCATGTCGTCCTCGAGCTCCACGCTCTCCAGTCTCCGGACCTCCCTCGTAACCTCAACCTCCTTGGTGACGAAGATACCGGGGAATCGCTGCCGCAATACGGGCCAGAATATCGGGACGCTGCTGGCTATCATGGCCAGGTCGACTTCGACGGCGGATAGAACGATGCTGAGGGGGCCGTACCACATGGGGTCCAGGGTGGGGCGCGTGGCGGATCGATGCTGGATGATAGAGTATACTCGGACGACAGAGACGCCGTTGACTCTGCAACCTGTGTTAGTTTTCTTGAGATTTCAAGAGAAAGGTGTCTCCATAGGTGAATAATCGGGGTCAAGACGTACGCAATGCCAATGACCAGCAGCGCAAGCAGTCTCAACTTTGACTTAAGCGACTGCTGAGGTCTGAAGTAGAGGGGAACCGGAATGGCGAGGACAAGAACATCCAGTACGAAGTTGACTGAAGAATGGCTCTCGTACGTCCCCGAGAAAATGTCGGAGTTGAGCGAGCCGTAAGCCCAGCGCTTGGCCGGGATGAGCCAGTTCCAGTAAGCCGCAACCGGCACGCAGGGGACCCATCCCAAGAACGAGTAGGCGGTGGCCCATAGGCTGATGAAGACAATCAGGTAGATGCAGAGCGATCGTATGAAGGATGGTCGGTCGAATATTCGGAGGTACTGAAATAGGAGAGAGATTTTGATAAAGGCGGTTGACATTTGGTAGGATGCGTTTGCGACATAGAAAGTCTAAGAGAGGCGGTCTTTGTTAGCATATCGAGGTTATTGGCGACTATTGGCTGGTTCATTTCGTACTCGGAGGTAGTTCTGAATCTCTATCGCAGAGAGGGTATAGATATGTCTTCCCATTCCATACTTGGTAGCTATGCACCGAAACATTAGTTTCACAATGAAGAGACAAGTAGAAATTGAGTGGTCTTACCAACGCAGATTCCCACGGATCCAGTCGTTGTGGTTAACTATGTTGAAATCGTGTGAGACTTTATTCGTCATTGAAAGAGGTTAAACGACGCTACGCACCAGCGACAATATCACGAAGCAATCATCCCACCCTAATGACTGGACCAATTTGGCCCGCACGTACATCCGGAAGGCGACGCACATCCATGAGACAATCTAGGAAATATCGTCAGTGGCAGTTTCCTTTGATATGCTTTCAGATAGCTAGGACCTTACCGCAAAAGCGATGACAACGCCCAGAATAGTAGAGGGCTTGTTCACCAAGGGCTGCGGCTCGCCCGAGTTGTCGGCCGTTCCATACAGCGCATGAATAGTTGCTCCGTCCATGGCTATCACCACGGACGCAAACCAGACATTAGCTTAGGTTGAGATTGACGTAAAAAGGGCTAGACCACCACCTAGCCAAGGCAAGACGTCAAAATGGAAGCGAATGAGATGTCAGAATCGAAGCAAGCTCCATTCATATCTCGAGATTGTGGGAAGAAGGGTGAAAAGAAAAGATAAACGCCAGGTTCCAAAAAGAGAAATCGACTCTAGAACGATTTGACCCGTTCCACGGACGCGGTAATATATTCTGCTCACAGGAATGAGAAAATGGGCCTGGGCCATCGTCTCTTCGTCGTGCCCACTTTGACATATGCCGCATGCACAGATAAGACCGGGGAAGGCAAGGCGTAGACTTGGAAAAGGGTCCTGTCTCTCATGTTCCCTTCCACTCCACAGTCGAAACCATGCCCCCCTTTTCCCACTACGCCAGGAAGATTGCAACAACAAAGACTTGCACAACTGTTTTTGGTGGGCGAACAAAGCTGGACAAGCATCATGTTCGCTCTGTGACTCTCAAGCCCCGGCGGCCCACGATGCCGTGCTGATCTCTCTGTCTGGTCCTGCTTGTAGGCGTCCGTGCGAATACAACCCCAACCCTCCCCCTAGTTGAACTAGTTCTCACCAAGAGCGACGTTCGCAAACCGCCTCCTCGAGTCGTCGTCCCATGTTCCCGGTCGTCGTCCGAATGAGTCTTCAAGGGCCAGAGAAACAGTTGGCCCCGGCAGGCAGGTGGAGGCTGTAAGTCCCAGGTCATTCCAAAATCCAGTCTTCACAACCTGCAGGAGCTTGGACAGCCACGTTGTCACCATTTCACACCTTTTCTTTTGCGCCAGAGTTGCAGACTAGTTCCCCTTCTGGAGTACGATCAACCATGTGCAAGCATTGCATCCAGGTCCAAAACCTGGTCTCACATGCAACTAAGACATGCAGAGCGCGCCTGTGAGGCGCCTAACCTCGAAACAGCGAAACATGGCGAGACATCCCACGAGGCACGTCTTTCTCCCCGATGCGCCACGGGTTTGCCGCCGGGGAAAAGAATAAGTACTGGGGCAAAGCCTGTGATCGGTGACACGCACATCTACAACGCTGAAGCCTGGAAAGGAAGAGAAAGGAAAAAGAGGAGATTGCAACCCCACGATGTCGAGATTCCGCGTTGGCGTTGCTGAAGTGAGAGGCGCCAACATCCCGGTTCCTTGCTCTGCGACGAGAGCTCGAGTCAGTGTAGCGCACATCATTGGGGGCGAACCGTGTGTTTCAGCGAATTTTTGCGCCGTAAGCTTTTCTCTTTTCTTAAACACTGACTGGCGATTAACAGAAAGAATTAAGAACTAAGAAGCGCTTCGTGCGACGATTGTGACAAAAACAAAACCCCTCCTATGTGACGAAGCCAAGCTGCCATCGAGTCGTCCCAACTCGCCAATGAGGCAATAGTAGTGTCCTGTCAAGCCAAGACACGTCAAGTCGCATTATTCAATGCATCCCCAATCCTCACATCACTCTCGCCAGTCACGACGAGGTTGCGCTCGCATCGGCTACTGTCTTGTCTGCTCAATCGCAGCGAGTCACGTCCCCGAAACGGTTATAACTCTCGGTTTAAATGCCTTAATAGTGGCGGAGATATTCTGCCTCCCAAGCCTTATAAGCCACCATCACTGGCTTCAAATGGCCTATAAGTCCGCCGTCTTAAGACCGAAAGCAAGATCTCAGCCGGCTATCGCGGACGCATCCCACGGTTCCCGTTTTGAAAAAGGAAGCCGCATCGCCGCACCATGTCTTTGTGTAACGATTCAGATCATGACAAGTGATGTCCTCAGGTGATTGGCAGGTCCTAGTGAGGTGATATCAGCACACAGACCTCGATCCAAATCACCCACGTGGACTGTAATGTAGGTTTCGCGTTGCAACGAGACGACATGAAGGAGGGGAAGATTTGCCGGCCGATGCGGAAGTGAAGGTTCAAGTATTCTAGACGTTGAGACTTTCGTGAGCCTCTACATGTAAGTTGCGAGGTTCGACCTTAGTGGTCGATTTCTCAATTCCCACCATCTTGAGATGTAGTTTTAATTGCCGGCTGACCTGAGGTATGTCGTGCAATCACTATATCTAGGTAAGTTATCAACGTCTGCCTGCTGAGAGCGAACTATTGCCGGTGGTCAGCATTGTTCGATGAGCTCGCAATTCTAACAGCCACTCTTGTGGTAACGGAGACAATTAATGGAGCACGAGCTTCCTGTACCCTGATTGCCGCTGCAATCTCGAGACTTGGCGTGTTGGTCCCCGCCGTAAATCAGACCAATATCGAGATCCCCGGTGTGCTCGGACATCTTTCTATCAGACTCCTCTCTGAAGTCCCCCAAAAACATGCATTATCCGGATCACGGCGTCTCGTACCTGACATCAAGAGCCTATCTAACCAGTGACGACCACTTCTTCATGAATCGTTGCAGTATTGGGGTGCAGGTTGTGTGTACACTGGGCTTAAATTGGAGCAGTAATTCTCCGAGCGCTTGACTCAAGTTACAGTGGATAAAACTTTCCCTGACAGCTGTCAACACAGGTTTGTCGCAAATTGCAATCAAAATTCTAGGTGCTTACGCCATGTCAAGCACCGGCCCGGCGGCAAAAGCGTCGTGTCTCTGATGACGAGATCGTGCCCGTGCCAAATGTTCATGAAAAACGAGGCGGCTAGTTTGAGAGAGCAAAACGACGAAACAAATTTGCCGAGCGCGCCAAGTGGGAAATCTGATGACAAAAACGGCGTCAGCCCTCTGGAGGCTATCTAGTTTAAGTCTAAAAGCACGTTGTTACACGCGAACTGTGCCATCCAAACGAAGCTACGAGACAAAAGAGTCTAGCTTCTTCAAAGAAGCTTTGGCGAGGAGAGGTCAACGGCAGGCAACTGAGCTCGTTGTTCCGGTCTTGTGCAACCCGAGCCGAATCATAGCGGAAAGTGGGCGACTTGGGCGATCATGGAACATGACAAGAACCTCCTGGTGCCTTTCAAGAGTTGGGATTTCCCCTGGATACAAATTAAAAACGCCCGCGGAATGGACGATGGAGACATCTCATCATTCCAAGGTACGGAGTACAGGTGCTGTATCAGTGGAGTTGGCAAAAAGTTGAGTATGCACCCCTGCGTTGGCCAACTCCACTGGGTGGTGGGGATTGCCTGGTTGAAGATCGATGATGCGAGACATGAAAGGTGGGAAGCCTGGCTCGAGAGATCCTGACTTTTAGCGAAACAGCATATCGCTCTTGGATAGCTAGCTCAACTCTGTTACTGTATGTAGAGTCTAGACATACTACTTGATTCCGGGCATCCCACTGAGAAACGTGAAATCGGGGCTCCGGCTCCCATTGAGAAACTCCCGATGAACTACGCGCCCGCTACGGAAGCAAGAAATCGGAACCTTGTGCCGGTTTGTCGGGAGTAGGGCCCCCGCGGATAGTGTCCGAAGCGCCGTGCGCAGCATTGGAGACAGCCAGGACACCATTTATTCAAACTTTGAAGATATCCAAAGCCTCCATTCCGAAGTCGTCTTCCGGATTGGACAGGGTCTCTTGCTATCCTCATCAACGTCGTGGAACGTTTCCCTTTCGAACTCAGTCTGGAGCTTTGACCGCGAGGGCTTTGGATATTCTGCTCACCTCGTGGACCAACACTCCTCCCCTTTGACCCTTCCCCCCCTTGACGTGATACCTTAAGCCACGAACATACAGTTCATCCGTCGTTGTGATCGAGAACTCTAGGTCCAAGCTCTGTTTTCCGTTTCTACATCTCAACTTCTCAGTACTGACGCGTGTGTCCACATGGATACCACAGGCGACCCATCAAGCCTAGGGTAGTCAGCATGCTGCATACAGATACCTGCATTGTTGATTAATGTTGACTCGGAACATCGGTAGTCACTGCCCATTTGATACCATCATTCCCCGACGCTCCATATGCCTCCAGGCACATTGATTCTTCCGTGATTGAATTGGCCAGTCAGAACAGTTGCAGAGACCAGCGTCACTTGGAAACCGGGAGGCAAACCCACGAGTAAGTCATTACTTTCTTTCGCGCCCCCAGTCCGTGATCCAGAAAAAAGGAGGCCCGAGCAACGACCAGGTAGGGTACCATTATTCCCATGCAGCCTCTGAATAAAATGTCCTAACAATGCCCCCATCCTGCATCCTACAGTTACATCCGCAGCATCGCAGCGGCGCAGGTTCCGTCCAGATACCGTGAGGTGATCGCCATGTCAACCGCCCCCGCTGCAGTGGCCATGTTAGAGACTGGCGTCTCCAAGTCCGTGGGTGATATATCGGTGGTTCAACGGTCCTGATCGATTCCCACTCTGTCGTGCGAAGAATGTATTCTTGAATCCACAACCCGTTGAAGAATAATGTCCCAGGTTCTCCACTGAAAGGATCATCAAAGTCGCAGGATGCAAGACACCGGCTTGCTCTGAATTCCGCCCAAACTACAACCATGAGCCTTTTTAAACATTCTCCACGACGAGCGAGACAAAGACACGCGAATTGAAAACGCTGACTGGTTCCCTCCCTCAAGTTCCTCCCACACACCCTTTCCACCGATGCGTGTTACGGTATCACGGCCCCCATCTCGCCAGCGACCCTGACAGAAAATCCGACGATCGGCGTTGAAGAAAGAAGCCAAGACCCGGGAGTTGTGATGGGGGATCCATATCGGATGGCACCCGACTCCATTTTCGTCTCGCGCCTCTGCCACCGCCTCTGATCCAGAACTCCCCGTTCGTCGAAATCGCCTGGCACTCTGGCTCCTGTTTCCTGCGCAGTATTCTTTCCCCCTTGCCCAGTGTCTGGCCCACCCCCAGCTGACGTCTACACACCAAGCATCGGGAGTTCACTCCGTTCGTAGCAAAGGGGCCGAAAGAGGCAACAGGGTCTTGGAGGGGGCCAGGACACAATTCGCAAGCTAGGCACCTTTTGGGACAATTGCGAGTCTTGTCCACTCTGTATCCGTCCAAGTCCAA